AATTTAAAAACTATAATTAGTATTTATTCATATATTATATTTTAAAATCAAAGAACTACTAATCAGGATATAATTAAAGAAATAAGAGTTCATGTTGCTTTTAAAATATTTCACCAATTTCTCTAAAGGAAACACTATCTACAGATTTGCATCGAAGCGTTTCTTATGATAGTGATTTTAATCACTGTCAGATATCATCTATACTTGTCCCATCTATGCCTCGTCTACACTGTGCCTCGATCCCACTGTGCTACCGTTTTTTTTTAAATTAAACACTATCTACAGATTTGCATCGTAGCGTTTTTTATGATAGTGATTTGATCACTGTCACATATCATCAGGGTCGCATTTAGGAATTTTGCCGCCCGGTGCACTTAATTTTGCCGCCCCCCATAAGTGTTGGATTGGGTTTTTTAGTTGGCGTATTTAATAATTCCGAATATTCAATTAATTGATTTTCATTTGCCATGGTATCAAAAGTATTATGTAGAGGATGTTCACTAAAATATTATAAAATTTTTCATTTATATANTAAAAAATTATAAAATTTTTCATTTATATAAAACTGAAATAACGTACAAAAGTTAACATTTGATTTTTAAATTACTTTTTATCACTAGACTCATTTAAAATCTGTTCAGCTGTAGTCTCTATTTCACTTGGCGAATTGGAGATTGATTGCCAAAAAATGAAGTTAATTTTGCGGTTTGAGAAAAACTTTTTGTTCTTTTTCTAATTTTAATTTAGCAACTTTTTTATAAGCACTTCCACTTAAACGTTTTCTGCCATCACTCATTTTAATACGTTAATAAATAATAAAATATACAAATAAAAAAAAACACCTCAACATATTAACTCGGTCACTTGTAGTCGAGTACTAAACACAATGAGCTGTCTGTACACAACACATTATTAGTGTGACATTATTAGATAGTAATTTTGTGAAAAATGAGACAAATTATTGTGTTTTAACTTTCTTAGTATTCCAATAATAATCGACTATCAACGGTCGACGACATCCATAAAACCAGTTTAAGGGAGAAAATATCAATACTTTGTTAAAATTAGATAAAAACATGAATCAAATAAATTGCCACCTACTTTAANCTATGCTGGGTTTTTTTAATATTCAATTGTTTTTTTCAAAAATCAAATTAACTCCTATTAATTTCTATTCTAATCACCTAATAAAATATTTAGATATATTTTATTCAAATATTTGAATAACTCTCTTAGATTGCGTTTAGGTTTATATGGTTTTTGCAAAAATATTTAGATATTCACAACATGTTCAGTAACAAATGAAATAATGGAGTATTCATTATTAGTCAAATATCATGACACTTGACCAAACTATGCCACATCCTCAGTGTGCCGCGATTCCACTGTGCTGGGTTTTTTTATTTATTAATGCTAACTATAATTTTACAGTGATTTTTAAACAATAATATTTTGTCATTATACAAAGTGTTCAAATGTAAAGAAACAGGTCAATTCATACGAACAAACGGAATTAAAATGAAACACTATTCCTTTTCTACACTTAGAACTTTTCTAGACACAGATAGTATATTTTCTTCTATAGGTTACCAGAAACATGTAATTAACAAAAAAAGCTTTAAAAGGGTCGTAGAAAAAAAATTCTCATTCAAAAGTAAAAAGTGTAAAAAGTTTTTAAAGGCATCATTAAAATGTTTTTACATTTGGCCTCGCAGTATCTATCACCGACATTTTTGACAATATTTTGATACAATTTATAAATGATTACCGGATATGATAAATAAACTATAACTATTTTTATGTGTTCATATTATCATAGTTAATATGTTTATATAAGTTGATATGTTCATAAATTAAATAGCTGCTATCACAATTGTGTAATATTAAACAAAGCAAATTAAAAATTTTATTTTCATTTAATCATAAATATTAATAACTTATTGCTATTTTTGAATAAATAATTGAGCACGACATTTTTTAAGCACTTTTAGAGGTAGGGAGAATGAGTTTCCTTGCTTCTCTTTTACATTATTTTTCAACTAGGAGCAAAATTGACAAAATAAACTATATGAACAAGTCTTACTATATGCTTTAAAACAATTATAATTATACACAGTCATTGTTGGTACGCCTCAAACGCACACCTATGACTGTAAATCTACACATCTGTTTTTTTCATACTTGAATGAGTTTTTTAAATACTTCATTATCATAAAAAAACTACATTTTTTTAAAAGATTAAAATATATTTCAATATTTATGCATAGGTTTCTTTTAAAAAAAATTTTCGTATTTTAAACTAATTAAACTTTAATTGTGATGATAATTTGTTATTTAATTATGTGTAATTTTATAAAACATAAAAAAAAAAATACAAATTTAAAAGTTGTATATAACTAAGTAACATATCTATCACACAAAATTAAATCAAACTTGGATTCAAATAAAACATTGCATTTTGATGAAAGAGTCAAGTAAAAAATGTTTAAATTAATTTACAGCAATAATAATAAAGTTGTGTAATATAGTATACATACAAAAGTAAAAACGCATATAATATCACTTCGAATTTTCTATTGTTACTAAGATTACTACCATGTTTTTAAAAATACTATAACTCCCTTCTTCCCATAGAAGATATGATTTTTTTTATATAATATTAAATAATAATAAGTTAATATGTAATTTAAATTGTTATATACCAATTAAAATTCTATATCATTGTTTACTTATTATTTATACTATGATCAATAATAAATAATATTTTAAGAGATAAAATTTTGTTTGTGTAACATAAAAATACAAATAAGTTATGTTTGGTGGCTTGTAGAAAGAATATTACGAAGTTATTAAACAATATAGATAACAAATTTTAAGATTTATTTGATAATTTAATTATTTTAGGAGTGAACTTTATTAAGATCTTATAAACAATGTTATAATGAAAATATCGAAAATAACTTAATAAATAATTAAACTAGCTTACAATCTTAATTGAATACACTAAGATTTATAAAAATAAAAAATAAAAAATTCTGACATTTCTATGATTGGATCAATCAAAATTGAGTAAAAAAATATATCAAGCAATAATGTAAGTCACTATTTAAGTCATGTGGACGTTACTCATAAGTTTGTACAGAAAAGATGCAGTTACAGTTGTGTCGAATACACGGAACCAAGAATCACAATAATATTTATCAGGTAACATTTAAAAGGTTAAATGGTAACATGTCAAATCTATTTACAGTGAATATTTAGGAGATCATCTATGTAAAGTGTTATTAATAGCTTTAACAAGTCTTCTAACGATGCTGAGACCAAGTAATGGTATTGGACCATAACTTAAACGCCACCTCAACAACAAGTAGGACATTATCTTGAACACCACAAACAAACCACAGAGCGAACTTAGAGATATCCAGTATTGTACATTTTCCATTGCAATATAGCGAACCAACTCTGAAGGTTCGTTGATCAAACAGTAATCTTCACTTGGTGGGCACACCAATTTCCCTCGGTTTTCATAAACTGCCATAACAAGCGCCTCTAATCCTTTTCGTAAATAACTGAAGTGCATGGCGATTCTAATGAGAAAGGGTATTTGATATTCTTTAAAGCCAAAACCGTATCCGGCAAGTAATATGAATGGGCACGTTATACACGGACCAAGAAAAACGCTATTCTGCAAATTATATCAATCGAATTCATAAATTATCTGTTCTTTTATTGTATAAATTAATTACCATTTTTATAGTTATTCACGAGTAATATTATTAGCGATGTAAGATTATTCACGAGATTAAACAATACATTTATTTTTCGATTTATTATTTTAGATACGATTAAAATTTTTAATAATTTTATACATCGACCGTAATAAATATAAAAACTAAATCCATTAAAAAATGTTATTCTAACTGAAGAATAATACATTTTAGAAGTACTATTTATCATCGACAATTTAACAGTTATATTACACACATGTATAATTATGTGAAATAACCCTAATAGTTTTTTTCGGGAATATTCTTGAGAATGATTTTGAGGATATTCTCAAAATACGAGAAAATTCTTTTTAATTTGCTTTTATTATACTTTACTACATTGCAGTAAAATGATCCAGAATGGCCATCAAGTAAAAATTGGTCACTTCCAAATTTATCAAATGTAGCTTTAAGTTAAAGATATACAGAGTGATCAATTAAGGATAAGATACTCGTTTTCTTGAAAACTATTGAAAATTAAAAATTTTTATATAGTAAAATAATGTTTAATTCAAAAAATTCTATAACAATATATAGTTAAATAGTTTTTTCATCCCTTCAAGATAAAAAACGTAAAATTTTATTTTATTTAATAAAAACCCCTTTTTTAAGTTTGATTATACGATTGGAAAAAATATTTCACACAATATAGTTCATATAATTTTTTTATCTAATTAACCATTGCATTTTTATTTTTTAATGATTTAGATTTTAAATAAAAATTTGTCATTAATTTGCTTTTCATTTTATCATTGGCAACAATAATCTGTTTGAATGGATTATAAATTTTTATCAGTACTCTTGTTATCGCAAGTAACAGTTATGATAACAAAAATTATCAATAAAAACTTGTTCATGTAACATTATGAAGAAATGACAACCAGCTCTAAACAGCAAATTATCAAAAAAAAATAGTCAAAATTTTTTAACTTTAACTAGCAATAACAGAAGAATGGATCATCAAATTAAAAAGATAAAAGCAAAATTGTCTTTTTTTTTTTTACTATTATATATGGTAAAATTAAAACTATTATATCTAATTTTATAGAATACTTTGTGACTGGATATTTTTCGATTATATCGAAAAAAAATTTTTTGGGAGGGTATGATGTTTTTCATAATAGTCTCTTTAGACTTTTAGTCTTTGAGCAAAAATAAAAAATAAAATAAAAATGTAAAAACATTAAGAAGCCATAAAAATATATAAAAACTGAGAAGCTATAGAAATGTAAAAAAATNATAGTCTCTTTAGACTTTTAGACTTTGAGCAAAAATAAAAAATAAAATAAAAATGTAAAAACATTAAGAAGCCATAGAAATATATAAAAACTGAGAAGCTATAGAAATGTAAAAAAATTGAGCAGCCATAAAAATGCACAAAAATTGAGATGCAATAAAAAAATATAAAAACTGAGAAGCTATAGAAATGTAAAAAAAAAATTAGAAGCCATAGAAATGAAAAAAAATTAAGAAACCATAGTAATTCACAAAAACTAAGAAGCCATAGTAATGCACAAAAATTAAGAAGCCATAGTAATGCACAAAAATTAAGAAGCCATAGGAATCATTTTTCATATTTTTCTTATCATGGAACATAAATTAAGGAAAAGATGATTATTTTTTCATCATAATTTTTCAATTAATATTTAATATTTCAAATGATTATTAAGTTTGATCAAATATTCTTAAAGAAATTATTTAATTCTTTATTTTTTATGGAATATATTCATCGATAATTATCTACAGAAGTATATTCTCAAGAAAATTACTGTTACCGAGAAAAATCTCTCGATAATATTTCGTTACATCAATACGTATGTGTAAATCAATAAATTGAACTTACCGTAATACCAAAGCAAGATGATATTGTGTATCCCATACTTTCAGCTGACAAAGCCACAATAAGGCATACCAGGAAGTATTTTAATATACGATTTAATTCTAATGGTTGGCCGGTCAAAAAATAAGTTATACATATAAATACGCTTGTCAAAAATATCTAAAAAAAAAATTATAATCTTTAGATTACATGACAAACGTCAATTTATAACACACATAACAATACCAATTGGTATTTTAATATTATTACTGCCATATCGTAGTAAATTCTGCGTTTTTAAAATATTTAATTGTAATTGAGAGATAATGTTATGACTATTTTAATATAAAGGGATGAAATGGTAGGAGAAATTGAATTTATTGTAAATAAATTCCAAATATAATAATATATTAAGTTAATTGAAAAAAAAATAAACATTTTTTATTAGAAATTCTTTCATAACAAAAACAATAAATTCATTTAACCCCCTTATTTATAAGAGCTATAGTTATAAATCGCAGTTCTTATGTATTTTAATATAATAATAATAGTTTATTTACCGCCAAGAAAAGTTTGAAAACGGCTAGAGCAAAAAAATAGGCATTCATCCCATACCACCTGTTGAAGTACTCCCGTTCTAGAAGCCGAATTTCAATTGGAACTATATATTGTAAGCAAAACTATATATTATATGCTGAAATTAAATATTTAATTTTTTAAAAAAGAACATTAGACTTACATTTTAACAATACTGGCATAAGAGGAAGGTAACTAAAAGCAGTTATTGTCATGAAAATAAAACCATAATTGTAAACAGCGTAGTATGCATTATTTCCCAATTTATAAAAAGTGCAGCCGATTAGCAAACCGATCAGCAAGTATGTTAAAAATGAATACAATATAAAATTCTGCAAAATAAAAAAAATAGTATTGTTATTTTATTAATTTTTAATATATATATACTGTTTGTTTGTAAAATAATTGTTTTACAAACGGATTACAGGGTTAATTATAATTAGCTATGTAATGCGTATTTTTCTTTTTCCTTGCCTTTATCCCAACTACTTGAGGTCGGCCACCTTATCCTAAACTTCCACTTGACATGATCTCTCACATAATTTACGCACACATCGACAGTCCTTATATTATATTCAATAAATTCCCTGCGTCTGTTTTTTGGTTTTCCTCTACCTCTTCTTCCTTCAACTCTTATTTTCATAACTGTTCTTACAGCTTTCGATTTCTCTGAACTCATAACATGTCCAAACCATCTAAGTCTATTTTCATTCATCTTATTCATGATTGACGTTACACCTATACGCCCTCTTATGTGTTCGTTCCTTGGTGTATGTTCTCTAGCTACTCATCCACCTAAGCATTCTCTGTTCTATTCTCTTGTCAACCGCACAACACTCTGAACCATACATCGTAGTTGGTCTCACTACAGCCTTATAGAATTTACCTTTCAGCTTCATTGAAATTCTCTTATCGCAATACACACCAGACGCTTCTCTCTACTTCACCTACCTGCAATAAAACCTGCGTCTTACATCCACGTCAATACAATTATCTATGTAAACCGTAAATAATAAAATTAAATATCTGATAATATTTAGCTAATAATGTATTTTCATCATGTTTTTCTTGTAAACCACAATTATGTAATTCTAACTAAACCAAAGGTGTCTAATTATTATTACTATTTTTTGTATAAAATAGTGGTTGTTTTTCTATTATCAATACATAAGTATGAGGACAAGTAATGGTAGATAAAATTATATCAGAATTATACATTGGGTATATCCATTAAAAACTTATTTTTTAATAACTGATTGAGGTAAAAGTATTAAGGTATAGTATATATAAAAATTTGTCTCGAAGTTGAAAATGCTCAGCATCTTACAACTTTAATTTTGATCATATGTCTGTAGTTAAGCATAAAATAGTTTTTTTATTATTTACAGTTGTTTTTATTTTTATTAAGTAATGAATTAATTAATAAAAATAAAACAATTACATATTATGGTACGATTACTTACATAATCTCTCTTATTTTGAATCATCATTCGTTTGAAGAGAACTTTGAATTGAGTCAACCCTGAAGTTGAAAAATCGTACAAGTGTGATTGTTTATAACTGAACTGCATACTTCGACTTTTTAATGAAACTTTATTTTTATCTTTACACCACCTCAAACACTTTCCGTTTTCAACCGCTTTAACCATTTTATTGGTGTAGTCGCCATATTCTTTGCTACACACTTCGATAACTATACACAAAACATTATGATGGTTTATTTGAATTTGTTTGAAATTATTCATGTTATTACTTTTGTTTTATATTTAAAAACTTGACGTTTAGAAAACTCACTAAAATCAGCTGGACTATAATATTTTGGACATTTTAGCCCTATGGAAGAAAGATAATTTACAATATGCTGACCTTCTCCAGTATATATGCATTGACCTTCACTTAGAATATAAACGTGGTCGAACATTTTGAACATTTTTTCGTTAGGCGTATGAATTGAGCATATAATAGTCTGACCGTCGGATGCTAAATCCTTCAGCAACGAAATGCACTGCAAGCTCGACAAGTCGTCCAAACCACTGAAAATGATAATGAGTACAAACTCATTAAACTTTGTGGAAAAAATATATAAAATAGTTTGTTTTTTAACAAATTATGTATACAATTATGTTGTTAATAGTTTATATATTAAGTTTAAAAGTTTATAGTGTTATGAAATTAATAATGCATCGTTATTTTATATAATTAAGATCACATTGAAATTGAAGACTTTTAGATTGAAATTGACGAAATACTATACCTATTAATTTATTGTAAACAACGATATTATCAAATCATATTTTTATTTAAAAAATCACATAAAACGTTTTTTGAAAACAAGCAATTAACTCATAAATATACAACATATTATAGATTAATACGCATTAATAGAGAATACTAATAATGAGATATCAATATATTAAACTACAAATAAAAATTATATTAGGAATTTGTTCATTTAAAACCTGATAAAAATTAGGCAACTTTTATTAATTCAAACTTACGTTGTTGGTTCGTCTAAAAATAAAATTTGTGGATTACCGATCAGTTCTAAAGCTATAGATAATCTTTTTTTCTCTCCTCCAGATAATTTTAACGTATTAGTATTTTTCGCTTTTGACAACAACATTCTTTGAAGAATGTTTTCAATCTATACAAAAAAAACAATCATTATCTATTCTAGAACATTCTTATATTCAAATATTAATTTATCGTTCTTTATTCTACTGTTTCCATGTTTTTTTAAGAAAATTATCAACATTTTTTTAAAACAACACGATAATAATGATAATGAATTGTTATTATATTAGGTTTCTCTTATAAATTTCTTGTTTACTATATTCATAATATTTTATTTGAGCATCAATTTGTATAGTTAGATGAAATTCATAACAATAAGGTAGTAAATCTAATTATCGATGAACATTACAATTGTGTGTTTATGGTTTGGTGAAACTGAACTACCAAGCTTTAAATCTGCTGCGAATTCCATGGACTCCAAAACAGTTAAATATGGTTGTGTGAAATCTTCTTGCATAATGTAACGAGACATTTTCCTAAATATCCTCATGTCTCTTGGCTGGCCGTTTATAAATATTGAGTCTTTGGCATGATTACATCTACCAAAATAAATATTTAAGTTACTTTTATGAAATATTCAAAACTGTAATCATTTTCAAATTCCATTAATTTTTGTTATATACCTATAACCGGCTAATACGTTAAGTAATGTACTCTTTCCAGCACCTGACGGCCCCATAATAGCTGTTAATTCACCTGATTTAAACAATCCATTGACATTTTGAAGAATACCTTTAATCTCTGCAATTTTAATATGCATTAATTTTTAATAGAAAACAAAGAATTAAGTGTTAGAAACATGCAAATAGTTAAAAAAAACTACATATTCGACAAAATCAATAGGGAGGAGAGAATACTCTTTTGATAACCTGAATAATACGAATGTTTTTTTTTTTTTTTAATTTAAATTCAGCTAACAAGTTCAAAGGTAATTTTTATAGGACAATTTAATTCTTGTTTATTTCATCAGCCAACTAAAAACATTTTGTGAGAATGACTTAAAGAATTTATGATCTCGTGAATTTTTTAATACGCTTTTATTAGTTTCACATGTATGTTGTATGTTGTTTGTATGTTGTTTGTATGTAAGTTTGTAACTCTCCAAACGCCACGCGTTATCGCATATTCCGTTGTCTAGACTAGACTGTTATACGCATTCACCCCTCCCCACGCCTCGCTCACAATACGACGGTACACTATTCCTATAAAAATTTATTTTTAGTTATCGTACCCGTACACGCGTGCTTGTCATCAATATTATATATATGTAAACAAATTTTTATTTTGACTGACCAATAACGCCCGCGTCTAATGCGCCTTACGTATATATATATATATTCCTACCGCCGTTTATACCTCGGGTATAACGTTAGTCCGACCCGCCCGGCCATAAAACACAGCTATACTTAGTGCATGATACTTTTACGTAGTTAAGTCGCATTATTTGTATAAATATATATATTCTAATTACTATTAAAATTAATATATTAACACGATTTATTCTAATTAAGAGATATAAAGTATTCATTCCGATTACGAGGGATGATTTCCGTATCGTCATTTTTCGTCACTACCTCCACGTTCCGGGAGTGAGTAATTTACGCGCCTGCTGCTTTCCTTGGATGTGGTAGCCGTTTCTCAGACTCCCTCCCCAGAATCGAACCCTGATTTCCCGTTACCCGTAACAACCATGATATTGATAGTAACTACTATCATAACATGAAACTAAAAAGTAAAAAATAAATATAGTTTAAAAAACTAAAAAAACACGCTTTTAAAGTACATCGAACTAAAAAGTTAAAAATAATTTTTAAAATAATTATGAACAAAAAATACTAGTATTATTGTGATAAAAGCGTCGGGCGCTCAATATACGAAAAATATGGCACAAAGCACCCACGCTTTTATCACAATAATACTAGTATTTTTTGTTCATAATTATTTTAAAAATTATTTTTAACTTTTTAGTTCGATGTACTTTAAAAGCGTGTTTTTTTAGTTTTTTAAACTATATTTATTTTTATTAAGTAGCTATCATAACGTGATTGTGTTATTATTAACACGCTTATATTAGTTTCACTTGTATGTTGTGAGTTGTGAGTTGTATGTAACTTTCAACGCGCACGTGTCCTACGGCCTTGAGACTAGACGGTCGTAACGCATTAACCCCACCCCGCTCACCACTCGTAGTAAACAATATTTTCCAATCCGTAGACGCGCGCGTGTCATCAATTATATATATATATAAATACATTTTTATTGTGATTGACACGGCCCCGTGTCGTTTTACGCCGCGGTGCAAAGTCCAGCAAGTGCCGCACGGCCGACGATGTCCCGCCGTCAATGATACCGTAGTCTTCTTCTCGTTGTCAAAGTGACATCGTCAACAAACCGATCTGCAATCGCGCACTGTTGTCATCTACGCTGCTAACCTTTTGACGCCCGAGGATCACGCCGGACATCGCGTCGTCGACGCCTGCGACAGTGCCGCGATATTATGCGAAGATCATATATTCCTACCACCACCGCTAATATTAATATATATATATATTAATATTTATACGTATATGTTAGTATTCATTTATATATTCCTACAGCTGACGCCTCTGCCGCCGTATATACCTCGTGTATAACGTTCCCCCGCCCACAAATCACGGCTATACCTCGTGCATGATACGTTTACGTACTTAAGTCGCTTTACATATATATATATATATATTCTAATTACTATTAAAACTTATATTTTAATACGCTTTATTCTCATTAAGAGATATATAGAGTATCTATTCCGATTACAAAGGATGATTCCCGTATCGTCATTTTACGTCACTACCTCCACGTTGCGCGCCTGCTGCTTTCCTTGGATGTGGTAGCCGTTTCTCAGACTCCCTCTCCGGAATCGAACCCTGATTCCCCTTTACCCGTTACAACCATGATATTGATATTAACTACTATCATAACATGGAACTAAAAAGTGAAAAATAATTTTTAGTTCGATGTGCTTTAAAAGCGTGTTTTTTAGTTTTTTTAAACTATATTTATTTTTTTATGTAAAATAATGGTATTGTATTGACAACGGAATTAAAAACCGTAATCGGATCTTAACTAAACGTTTGAAATTTATACCATACAAAAAAATACCATGTTAACTACTTTTTTATAATTAGATATCCTTGAAAAGGATCCATCTACTCCTATTCTTTGATTTATACATTTAACTTATATAATTACTGACATGTATAATTGAACGTATATAATACGTTATATGCCAATCATGCTGTTAAAAAGATTTATAAAAAGATAACTCAACTTTTTTAACTTTAAATTAATTTTAAATTATTATATAATTTATTATGCATTAGCCCAAAAAAATTAATTTGCCAAGAAAAACTTGTTCGCCTTAAATATTTGCTTCTCATCTTAATAAGAGATTGACAGCCAAACATTAGCAACGAAGAAATATTACCCAAAATAACATGAAAATTGAAATTAATAATTCCAAAGCAAGTTACTTTTTTAGAAGGCTGACGTAAACAGTTCTTTACGTAATTTCCCAATTTATAAGAATTTCATGGAAAATAATTTATCTATAAATAATTATTTATTGATAATAAATCTTTAAAACGTGTATTTGATCATTTTTGTTTTTAATCGTAACAATAAGGAAATAACATCGTTCAATTAGTTAATAGTAGACCCGCACTGACTAGGTACTCAAGGTATTTTAAAAACAAAGACGGCCTAAAAAAGGGTGGCCTTTCGATGTAAATGAGCAAAAAAAGAAAAAAGGTCTTCAAAAGACTAAAATCCGTGAAATATAAAATTATAGAATCAACTTATTTAATTTTGTACAAGAGCGACCGAATAGGTCAGGTATTTTAGTTAAAATGATAATTTATATGTTACATAAAATTTAATCCCCAGTTAGGGATGGATAGACCCACTGGGTTACTGGGAATCTCTAGATGGACAGCGACTTATATTGATGAAAATGATCCGGTAAAAAATATTGCCATCTTGGATATGGTCATGTGAGCCACTAGATTCTATTTTCCTCCGATCTTTAGACTTGGTTCACATGGACGCGCTTGTTTAAATATACGAGTTTCCCATACATCGTTCACATGTTTCGATCGATCGCGATAACGACGCAAGTTTCTATTTTCGCGCGTAATACTGCGAATTGAATTGTTGTTATTTCGATACGGTCCGTTCAGTTGACACGCGCGTTTACAGAGAAACAGCGATTCATTGTGCAAATGCATATTATAAAAATATTTTAAAATAATAAATAAATTATTATAAATAATAATTAAATATTTATTGTATTATTTATACATAATTATTAACGTATACCGAAAAATGGAAGTCGAAACTGATTTACTCAGTTAATTTTTCGTCATGATCCCTAAGTTTCGGGTATAAGATAATATAATGACTTGAAGAAAGCCTAGTTTTTAAAATTGACCCAATATTTTCTTTCTTCTTTTTGTCTTCGTCTTCTCATTCTTCGATATACGACCCACAAACACACAGCATTTGACACGTCCATTTCCGTTGAATGTAAGACACAAACTGTGTGTAACAAGAATATTTCGAATTTGATGCACGTGTTACATGTGAATGATCATAAAAGCTAAACGCGCATCCATGTGAACTTAGCCTTAGAGATCATGACTATTCGCCTCTGCCTCTATTGAGTAAAGAAATATTCTTATTATTAACAATTACTTCTGGCAAATAAAAAAAATTTTATTTATTAATAATATTTGTAGATGTTTGTAACATTTATTAAAATGATATTTCAAGATCATTAATTAATAATATAATATATTTCATATATATATACATATTTCTTCACATAAATATAAATATTTATATGTTTACATAAAAATTAAATTTTAGTTAAAATATTTTTTGTTATAAGTTTTCAAAAAAAAAAATTTATTTGATGAATGTGAATTAATCATGTAACAGTGAGTAACCAGAATATATATATATATTTTTTTGTAAAATTTCACGTATATCAATATAGTATTAGGTTTTAAAGATTTTACTATATCAAACAAAATCAATTGTATTAAAAACAAACCGAATTGATAATTGTTCAGTATCTTCTAAAAGCAAATGGTATACTTTTGAATTGTAATCATGTTTGAAATATTGTAATTTAATAGTCAGTTTAAATTTATTTAGTATTAATATTCTTTTTGTGTGGTCTTTAATACGTCTTAAAAGTATATGTATATCAATTAAGTACGAAAAATTATATTTTAAATTTACGTATTAAACTTCCTACGCAAATAATTTATATGCATTTTTTCATACATACTTAAGTATATTATTTATTAACATAGAAAATGTTCTGTGTTTTCTGAGTTTTTTAACTACCTATGTTATATTACTTAAATGTTATTTATCTTCAAAGTTTAGGGTAACTATTTTTTTACACTATACAGGTGTTTTCAAAATTTTAGTATTAGAAAAGATCAACACAACATTTTTAAAACTAATAAATTGTTATATTTTTAAATTTTGTAAAACAATTTAAAATATCTGTATAATGAATTTTATTATTTTATATCATTTCAAAAGCTTGTAGGTGGGAACTTCTTTACCATTCAGAGTTTCATGAACGAACTTAGGTATTTAAATATCAATTTAAACAAAACACCTTCTTCATGTTATACCGGTTTCTCTAAAGTAAAAACTGTAAATAATTATTATCATACAATCTTAGTTTTCATGTATTATTTTTTTTTTTTGGTTAGTGTAAACTATACAATTATTCTAAATCTTATAATTATTTTTCTCGTGATATGAGGAAATTATTAAAGTTATTATACGAGACAATACCTGTGACGTACATCGTTTTTATATTCACATTATACAATTTTTCAATAAAATTGTTTACGTGATATTTTGTCCTTTTAAATTATAGTGAAAAAAGTCAATTTACACAAAGTAATTGTTACTAATTACTTTGTGTAAGTAAAGAAAATATTATAGTAATTATTCCTGGTAATTATATAATAGTTTTATTCATGTTAGATTACATTTCTTCTACTATATACCTGATACCTTGTGTTGTTTTTAAATTAAAGATCTGGATATTTTTTAATTCAAAAGGTTCTCACCATTTTGACCTTGCGATATACTGTACATTAAATCGTTAAACTCAACATCTATTAGCGGCCTCATAGTTAAACTAGTTTGGAATTTTTTGAATTTTAAATTATCAAAATTATTTGAATTATTTTTCCTGAAAATAACAAACAGGTAATTATTATTTTTTATCACCTTCATTTTTAACTATTTAACACAAAAATTATAGACTTATAAATCTAGACATTTTTTTATAATATTTAATAATTTTCTTATTTTATATTTAAACTGTGTCATCACTAATTAAAACTTCAATGTTTAATAATTTTAGGGAAAATTAATGATTTAAAAAAAATTTAGTAGTAAAAATGTGTTAAGTAAAGTGTTTTTTTATATACTTAATTATTAGAATTTTAACTAATTTATAAATAGTCAGATTAGTTATTTAATGTGAATATTTTAGCCTTTTTGTTTTTAACTCTTTTATTTTACTAATAGAATACATTTTAGCAGCAATAATTATATGACGAAAGACAATTGAAAACTGATTCTTTTGGCTAATTTTTAAGGGATTTATTAAGATAATAATATCAAAAATATCTTCAATGAAAGTGAATGTTTTTACGTTAACTAGCTAATATTTTGCATTAACAAACCTTTTGAACCGTTCTGTTAAAGAACATTACACAGTATATTAACAAATTGATTTTTCAACTTATGTACAAGGGATGAAAGTGGCACAAAATTATTAAAAGATGGTTCAATTAAAAAATTGGAATATGCTATTTTTTAACGCAGTTGGTTTAGAGATCAATGATAAATTAGATACTTAAAACTGAAGGGGTCGAAGTAAAATTTTGGAAAAATTAAATACGTGCAAAACTAAGAAGTAAAATAATTATTCTTTCGATTGGATTAAAGAAATTAGTAGACTTTTTTATCAAAGTGCTATTTATTATCTATTCCTTAAATCAACTGCAATAAAAGGGAACATACTACAAATTTTCAATTTAATTATCTTGTAATAACTTTTAAAATAATGGGTAAAGTACTTTGATGGAAAAATAATACTACTTATGAAAATTGATAATTTGAACATTTTAGGACGTCAATATTATATAATAAAAGATTATATTTTCATAAATCATTAGTTTCTTTATTGGTAATTCAAGGTTAAGAGAATCATCAATCCTCATTTGCTGAATTAAATAGCTGATTAATTTTTTACAATGAGTATGTATGTTTAAATTTCTAACTAATAGTTGAAAATTATGAATATTTGTATGTATAGAATATTAAATTTTTTCAATCCATTTGAAATATGTATAAATAACAGTTAGGCTGTCAAAACATTTAAGCGCATATTAATAGTTGTAGATCCTTTGCACTGGTCTATGCAAGGGTTTCCGTCTTCTCTAATGCAATATATTTTAAGAGAGGATATAAAACATAAATATATTTTAGCCAAACTTGAATGGCGTTTATAAGAAAATTCGATACAATTTTATTTGCTTAAATATATTTATATACTCATTAAATTTGATTTATATTTCATTTTTCGAGCGATTCTGGAAATGAAACAGGCAGAATAGATTTTTAATCAGAGATTTATAAGTTATCTTTAAAAAATAACAAATTATAGTAATGATTAAAATCAGCATATATATGCAACTTTTTTTTTACCAATTTAAATAAAATTCAGTCGTGAATGTAAACAATTCGTGTTTTATTTAGTAAATTGGAAAAACTTAAGTATTCCCATATCATATAAAACACACCACTGTATTTTTTACACTGTGAAAATCACAAAGTTATGATAAAATTTTAATGCATTAATTATGGATTATAAAATCGTTGTATTTTACTATTATATAATAATAAAAGTTCATTCAAATTCAACGTATTTTTCATTGTTGTATTTAAAAATAGCAACTAATTTTTGTTTGTAGCAAATAAAGTAATAAAAAGGCAATTAATAATGATTTTAGTAGTGCGTCTAAGTTTTTATAAATTTTAGAATAAATCAATAATAGTAAATTCATAGTAGTTCAATAATAATAATAGTAGTTTCATAGTAGTTACTACGAAAATACTGAATATTGTTCAATTATATATATATATATATATACACCAGAAAAAACATTTTTGAGAAATATCACATCAAACATTGATGGTGAACTTTGCTTTTATTCCATTCGGTGAAGAATGTTTTTTTTTGATGACTTATTAAAAAAATGGGATTAATGTAATAAAAATTACTTTATGTTATTTAAGATAATTTATATGCTTAAATACTTTTAAATAAAACAACTTTAAAAGGTATTTAAAACAACAATTAAAATACTATTAACCACCCAAACATATTTGAAAATGTTGACTTAAATTCTCAAAAGACCACATGAAAATGAAATGTATGTTTTTAATCATCTATGAAAAGAATATAATATAAAGACCTTATTATAAAGGTACATATAAATATATAGTACTTACCTCGGTACAAATAAAATTTAGTTTCAGATATGTTGTATTGTATTGTTGATTCGTTTTGATGTTTGTTTTTATAATAAATCCACTTAATTATATATTTGTTTTCTAATTGAAAATTAATTAGTTATATTTTATCATTATTATTTAACTAATTTTATAATTAATGTCCAGCAAGTATTTTATATCGAAATAATAATATTTTTATTGTGAAAAAAATCGTCTTGTTATCACAAAATTCCCTACAAGTGTTAAGACGTAAGTGAAAAATGTTTAACTAAACGTAAGTTATAAAAGAGTATTTGCAATGGATGTTTTGATTCAATAATCAATACGATGTCAATAGTGGGGATTCAAAATCCATCGAATATAAATATTTATTATGTACAATTAAAGTAAGTTCAAATGAAATAATATTGTCACTCTCGATTCACTTGGACGTGTACACAATGATAATTATATCCGAACCGGTATTTTACCCGAGCACGTTACATGTGTAGTTATGCTGAGTAGCTTTATTATAGTTTTGTATACGTTATAGTTCGTGGCGGAATTATACCAAATCATTTGGAGGTCATCTGAACATTTTAATCGAAATCCCTACCCAAAAAATAATTATCAACGTGAAAATATTTGCGATGACTTTTGAAGGGAGGAGCTAAGTATTTTGATGTTTATCATTCAAAACTTGTCCAATTTATTAGGTAATAATTTAAATACTCTGTATAGGAAGCTAAAAATTACATTTTATTTTTTCTTAATTTATGCTTATTTACATTTTTGTATAGGCCATGTGTTGAGTACCTCTTATACAAAAAAATATTATAAATTATTTATTACGTCATCATATTAACTATTTTTGAGTATAATTACTTTTCTTTTTAGCAATACTCCATTATTTCATTTGTTACTGAACATGTTGTGAATATCTAAATATTTTTGCAAAAACCATATAAACCTAAACGCAATCTAAGAGAGTTATTCAAATATTTGAATAAAATATATCTAAATATTTTATTAGGTGATTAGAATAGAAATTAATAGGAGTTAATTTGATTTTTGAAAAAAACAATTGAATATTAAAAAAACCCAGCATAGTGGGGACGTGGCATACTTGGGTCAAGTATAATGATATCTGACAGTGATCAAAATCACTATCATAAAAAACGCTACGATTCGAATCTGTAGATAGCTTAGGGTTAAATTAAAAAAAATTGATGAATTATTCCAAAAGCATATGATCTATTTCCTTATTTATATCCTGATTACAAGTTTTATGATTTATAAGTGTAATATATGAAAAAATCTATGTATAATATATAAATATTTAAAGGGAAGTGGTTTTATTTAAAAAAAAAAGTAGGTCGTATGAAAGAGGTAAATAAATAGTATTTATCATAAAAAAATTATATTGATCCATGCATTTTTCAAAAAGTTATTTATAGCATTCTAAAATTAAAAATATAAAAAAGAATTTTTTTACAAAAATCTTATTTTTTTTTATTAATTTTGATGTCTGTTTTCACCATAAAAACAAAATAAAGTCAGAATTTTTTTTTTTCCATAACAAAGTATATTACATAAGCTTTAATTTAAGACATTATAAAAGTGTTAGTGTTTCCGAAACCCTTTCAAAAGTTAATTTTCTATGAAAAAGTTGCAATTTTGTATGCCCCCTGTGGGCAGGTAAAGGGTCAGATTTATAAAAAAATATATCAAATGATAGGTAAAGACATCGTGCATCTATTAAAAAAAATTATATTGATTTGATCATTTTTAAAAAAGTGATACCAGTTTTAAATAAAAATAATTGAAAAAATTTAGAAAATTAGTGATTTTTAAATTCGTATTTTTTTTGGAAGTTTCCCATTTGGCGGAAACGATAATCTCCCTCAGATTTATAAAAAATTATATCAAATGATAGGTAAAGACATCGTGCATCTATAAAAAAAAATTATATTGATTTGGCATTTTTGAAAAAGTTTTGAACAGTTTTAAGTAAAAATAATTGAAAAAATGTCGAAAATAAGCGATTTTTAAATTTGTAATTTTTTTAGAGATTTCCCCCATTTACGGGAACGAGGGAAATTTTTTCAATTTTTGAGGGTAATGTCTTCGGCTAGATATGATTTGTGATATTTTGACGTATCGTTGAAAGAGACCGTTTCGATGAGAGCTGACAAAAAGTGGTAACAGACACAAAAAAAAAAAATAAAAAAAACACATCATAGTAAAATTAATACCTTTTCAGCTTCTCAACCTTCCGTTTGTCTTATTATTTAGAATATTTGTAAAATAAAAGGTAAAGGGTTTCAACTGTTTTTATTAATTGACTCAGATAATATTTGAAACATTTTAAGTTTATGAAATATTTTTGTACAAAAATAAAGCTTCAAATCAATTAATTTGTCATCCATTATTTAAAAATTATAAATACTAAGCGACAGAAAATGATTACTAGATGAATTCGTTAGTTAAAACATATGTATATAAGACGTGGTCATACGGCCATGGGTCTTAGCAGATATTATGCTATAGCATCATAATCCTTATTAGAGATATAATCTTGTTTAATAAAAAATTATTTTATTTAAAATTATAATTACGATAAAAATATATTCTATTTATTTGGTTAGATTTGGATTGAGATAAGTTTGAATAAGGATTTTTACAACTATTTTTTTTTATAGTTTATGTTTTATCTTTAGACATAAAATTAACAGTTGAAAGACATTCCGTGTCCAAAGTATAAAATTGCAAGCTACGGAACTAATTTTATTTGTTAGCTATTTAAATTTTTTTGGTCGTAAAACTGACGCAATTTATACCTTTTTTAACCTTGTAAATCCTTAAGACAATGAATGAAATCAAAATGGTCGAATGGAAAATTGGACAATGCTAGTTTTCTAGTAGATTTTGTTTATTTTTAGCATAATAATTAAAAATATATATATTTTTTAATTAAATATTTCGATGAAGTCTGTGTATGATTTGAAGAAAGTCTGCCTGAGTATCACAGTTCAAGCGGCTCTTGTTTGCTATTAGTAATCGCCACTATTTTTTTTATATAAAAATGGTGTATTAAAATTTAAATAACGGTACTACAATCTTCTTCTTTTTCTCTACTAAAGGCCTTGGCCTTGCGTTATCGTTGAAAGTCTGGTTCTTCATTCTTCTCTGTTAAAGATAGTCTTTTTATGTCTATGTATCGACTACAGTCAAAGATTGTCTTATCATTTATTCTATATATGCTTTCCCCGGTCTGTCTCTACCTTTGTGTCCATTTATTCGTCCTTCAAATATATTTGTCATAAACGAATTGTGCCTCAGTAGGTGACCAAACATTTTTCTATTTCTTCCTTTTATGCTGTTAAACAAATTCATTTTTTACCCTATTTGGTTTAATATCTCTATGTTACTTTTTATTTCTGTACAGCTGACTTTCAGAAATTTTCGCCATGTCCACATTTCAATGGCTTCCAACTTCTTGTCTTGTCCATTGATGGTTCATGTTTCATAGCCATATAATAATATGCTCCATACATAGCATTTGACAAAATTTTTTCTCATCTTTATAAATTAGTTTTTTGTTTGTAATTAGCTCCCTTTTTTGCATAAATGCTCTCTTTGCCAAGCGTCTACGATCACTAGTAATCTTACTTCCTACATACCTAAATTGTTAGACTTGCTCTATTAAGTTATTATCTATTTCCAACTTCACTAAAGGAATTTCTTTTGCTTTAGTCACCACCATTGTTTTTATTTTATTTGCATTTATTTTCATTTGATACTCTTGCAATATTTTAATGAGGGTGGTTAGACATCTTTGCATGTCTTTTTCCGATTCAGACACTAAAGCAATGTCATCTGCAAATTGTATACAGTGGATCTTTTCTCCATTTATGCCTATTCTTTTAGAGTTTCTCTTATACTTGTCTATGATTTATTCTACAAATAGATTGAACAGATAAGGTGATAAGGAACAACCTTGTCTTAGCCTTCTTCTAATTTTTGCTGTTTTATTATGTTTTCCTACCTCTAATAAGGTATCTTGTTTCTTGTATAGTAACATTATTACTCGTCTGTCCCTCCAATCTATTCGTGCTTTTTCATAGAGTTCATTAATAAAGCCCAGTTAACTGCGTCAAAGGCCTTTTCTAAATCAATAAAAGTTATAAATGTATTTATATTTACATTTAGCCTTCTTTCCGTTAGTACCCTTAGGGTTAGAATTACTTTTCTTGTGCCAATTATCTGTCTAAACCCGAATTGATCTTCACCAAGTTCTTCTTCGATTTTATTCCTTATCTTGTTTTTTATGATGATAAGAAGTATCTTGGACGCATGTGTTAAGAGACTTATTGTTCTGTAACTCTTGCATTCTGTGGAATTTCCTTTTTTAGGGATTAGTGCAGGATTCCCCCATAGGTGGGGACAGGAATACACCCACGTAGTCCATGTCGGCACAATAATAACAAATAAAAATGTTAAACGAATTTTTAGTCTATATGACAAATAATAAGAAAAGTCAATCAAAATTTGCTCTTTTTTTAAAATATTATTGAAATCTTAAATAAATTGTTTTGCTCTATACCATTATTTCATGATTTTATAGAAAGTATTTTTTAGATCATAACATTTAAATCTATATATATATATAAATATTAATAATTCAGTCAGATCAAAAAAAAAAAAAAATGTTTGCAAAATGTAGAGATTCAGCCCTGTTAGAATCAACAATTTTCGAGTTCTCCCTAAGTCCAAAACTTTTATTATCATATCTAACATAAAAATTATCTTTAAAATTTAAGATTAATTGAATAATACTATCACGTGATAATCTAAAGACAAAAATTAAATTGATTGCCTTAATTCTACGTAACAGTGTCTGCATTAGATTGCAAGTCAAATACAAAAAAAAATAAATTGTTTGCTTTTTTTTATATTTGTGGGGACTTTTAGCATGCTAAATTTTCACCAGCTTTGTTAAGAAATATTTTTATTCAAAATTATTTCAATAGTCATCTATGATATTTATCTTCGTCTTTAATTTTACAATTCTTTAAGAATTTTTGCCGCCACTGTCACTGTTCTTCAATCTTCCTGACTCTGGATTTTATCTTCCCAATCCGTCATATTCAGTATTTCTAAATCCTTTCTAATCCCATCTATCCATATTTTCCTTGGTCTTCATCTAGGTCTTTTCCCCTCGGTTGCCATTCGATTGCTGTTCTTACATTTGTATTTTCAGTTTTTGGCATCGCGTGTCCAATTCATTGGAGTCTTTGGCTTTTAATGTAGCTTGTTAGTAATGGTACTTTAGTGGTTTCTCTTAGCTCTGCATTGTTCTTTTTGCGCCAATTGTTAAGTTCGCTGTCAAAAACTGAGCCACTTATCCTTCTCAGTATTTTATTTTCAAACGCTAGTAGTTTCTTCTCTAGTTGAAGGGTTGTGGGCCATACTTCGCACCTATAAGTTATCGAAGGCTTTATTATGGTCATGTATAATTATATTATTCTTCTAGAGAACAGCTTTGACTTGAGATATTTATGAAGTGCAAAATATGGCCTCTCCGCTTTATGTATGCGACTTGTAATTTCGAGACTCCAGTCATTGTTGTCAGTGATTATAGATACTTAAACTACTTGATTTTTTCGAAAATATAATTTCGAATTTCTATATTTTGTTCCTTATTTGGTAGTAATTCCATCACTTTTGTTTTTTCTTGATTTAATTTTAAGCCTACCGATTCAGCCTTTTCTATGAGTGTGCTTGTATTTTGTATTACTGTTTCCTTGTATTTGAAATATAAATATTTTTTAAATACTGTAGAAAAATAATTATATTACTAAATTTGAAATGTTATCTTGCAGTGAAAGCAAAGCTGTATTTGAGGAGGATCAAAGGGGTCCGGACTCCCTTTTTTTAAAACATACGTATATTTATACAAATGTTCAGTAAGTAAGGACATGAGTTTCTCTTGTTATTATTGTTTTTAATAATTGACCTATTTCCTTACTTACTGAACATTCTTATACATATATAAAAACCCAAACCTCTATACAGAGTGGAACAGATTTAACTGACAATTCATATAACTTATGATCTATTTAACATTTAAAACAAATTTTACAATATATGACTATATTCTAAGTATGTTTTATGTTATTTTTCGAAATTACAAAATTTTTTTTAAAAATTAACGTTTTTATTGAATTTTTTTTTTTATATTTGAAGATAGCCATTTTATAGATAAGTTCTAAAGAAAAATTTTGATACTAAAAATTCTTAATGTAATTTATTAGTTGCGTTTCAACAGCTTTTGGAAGTTTATATAATATTGATTTTTTTTTACGATTTTTCTATGCTATCAACCGTTAGTCCCACGTATGTAAAGGGTGAATCGATCACGGACGTCTTCATTTACTGCACGAGAAATCAGTTCTGTTATTAGAGTTACCATCCCTCTCACCAAAGACGAATTAACCATCCGCCTTGGAGTATTTAAGCTTTAGGTTCATGCCGTCATGGCAGGCATAAGTAATAAGTACTTTACGATGCACAAACTTGGAATATCTTTTTGCAATTTTTTTCAAAATTTTGAGAGTGTATGAGGTTAAATACTTAAAGTATAGATTTAGAGTGTTAAAATACATAAAAATACACTAAATCCACTTTAAAATTTTACATTTTTTATTTATACTTTTAGAACTCTCTGTATAAATGAGGATATAATAGTGTATAAGGGTTTGTGTTTATAAAATTTATATTAAATTATAATATTCAAAATAGTTGGCACACTCAAATCATATGAATCCTACAGCATCTGTATGATAATTTTCTGTTAGTCAAACCACTGCTTTACCTTTTTTATCTTCTGTTTTAATCCAAAGTTGTTTGTGTACTATTTATTGGCAATTTGGTTGTTATCGCTGTAACGGATTCGACATTTGAGTGGACGTGTTTGGGTAACACTTATAACTTATTAACTACAATATTGTATTTAATTGGAAAAATTGGGGTATGGTTGAATATTTTTTTAATATTTAACTATGTCGAATACTGGGGATTATGTTTAAATACTTCACTTGATCAGGCACGTAGCTAGAAAATGTTTATTGGAGGGGCCAACAATTTTGGGCCCTTGTATCATTTTCCATAATTTGTTTACCATGAAAAGCTTGTTGGGGGGGTCCCTCCACTCCTTCTTAGACAGTATCCCATTCTATGAATCTTACAAGTTCAAAATTTGTGTTTATTTTTCGAAAATTGGTGGATTATTCCAAAAGTTATATGATCTGCTATTTCCTTATTAATATCCTGATTAAGATAAAGTATGTCGAATGAAAAAGAGATAATTAAACAATATTATTTCTCATAAAAAAATTGTGCTGATCCATACATTTTTCAAAAAGTTATAACATTATAAAGTTAAAAATGTAAAATACAAAATCGAGAATTTTTACACAAAAATAGCATTTGGTAGCCATTTTCACCGTGAAGACATAATTAACTCCGAAATGTTTTTAAATAAAATAGTACATTACGTTAGCTTTAATTTAAGATATAGATAAAAGTGTCAGACTTTCCGGAACATTTTAAAAATTTAAGTGAAAAAAGTTAATTTTTTGTGAAAAAGTTGTCATTTTAAATCCCCCCCGTGGGCAGGTAAAGGGTCAGATTTATAAAAAAAATATATCAAATGAAAAGTAACGATATCATACATCTTTATAAAAAAGTTATGGCAATTTTTGAGGGTAATGTCTTCGACTAGATACGATTTGTGATCTTTTGACGTATTACTGAAAGAAATGGGTTCAGCTGAGAGAGCTGAGAAAAAGTGGTAACAGACACAAAAAAAAACACATCATAGTAAAAATAATACCTTCTCAGCTTTGCATCGAAGCTAATAAAATAATGATGTGAACATAAGCTGATTTAATTTTTCAACTTTTATTTTTAACTTTTAAGCTATTAAGAAAAAATAATTTATTCCTAAATACTAATAACAATTAAGTTATAAAAATTTTTAAAATAAATATAAATTATAAACAATGTAAAATTTATTTTATTTAAAATTAAAAACAATTCCTGCCTTTTTTTAGTCATATTTTAATTACTATTATTTAGAGCACGCAAATAACAAATTAATAAAAACAAATAAATTACTTATTGTAACTACTAAATTATAAAAGAAGAAACAAATTAAAGATAAGATTTATCAAAAAATTTTTCATAGAGTATACTCTATCGAATTTTGTAATCAACTAGATTCTAATCAATGCAGATACTTGGTAGTTTGTTATCATTTGTTAGACCAGAGTTAAAAAAAATTACCTACAACCACGTTTGGAGTAATTGCTATTCCATTTATTATTACGTCTAGAACGTTATCTTTTTCAAATAACGTTTTCTATGAATATAAAAATAAAAATACAGCCATAATAATAACTGTATTACTCAATAGTAATCACAAATTAATAATAATTTCAATATATATAAGGCCAGAACGTTTTTGATAATTCGTAAAAATAATTGAATTTTAAATTTGGTGGGGCCGGCTCTGGGCCACATTAAATTTAAGGGGGGTCAGGCCCACCCTTGTCTACGTGCCTGTACTTGATACAAGGTAAAAAATCTGTAGATTCCTCCTATATTCCTATTCATACCCGTTATGATCAATATAAATTGGAATTCAGGAGGTAATACGAAATTTTTTAATCTCCCAATCTTTCAAATAATATAGAATTTAGGAGCAATTTAAATTTAATTATAAAATGTGTCATAGTACTGAGTTTGCTTAGATATATAATCGTCCCAATGGTAAAACCGGGTAGCTCAACATTTGAAAAGTATTATATTTTTGGAAAATACATAAAAAATATATATTTAAAATATATAAAAATATCTCTATCGTTCTAGAGATAATTGAGTATTAAAATAACTATTTCCATTATTAGTTATACAAAAAGGTAGTTTTTTTCTTCCTCTTGAACAATTTCGAAAAATCAAGTTACACAATTATGCTAAAATGACAATGTGCTACCGAGCGTACATTCTATTTTTGTACTAAGCAATCGTTTAAAATTTTAAAAGATAAAAATTACAGATTCGAGACTTAAAACTGTAAATTGATGATTATAAAAAAGATCTTATCACGCCTACTACATATTGTATTATTTTTTAATTATTGGATTTTATGTATCTTCAATCCTGTATTAACTTTTGTTAGTTTTAAAGCTATGTATTATTACACGAGGATAATTATTTAGGATATATTTAAACCTTACAATTTTTAACTTATTAAGATTTGTTATAAGATATTTTAAATAATTATAGCATTACAAAAAATATTGGATTTTATATTTTTTCTCGTTCATAAATAATATATTATTTAATAATTTATACTAAATTAAATAATACTCATCAAAGGTTAAAAACTGTAAAAATGATTATCAGATGAATATCAGAAACTTTGTTGTCGATTTTCATGTATAAAATGATTCATTAAATATTACTTCCAAATATTTGATACTTAAATTGCATGTTAAAATTTATTAAAATATATTTAGTTAAGGTTAAAAACACAAAATTTGTTTTAAGAAAATAAAACATTTATTGTAACAAATTAAAAAAAATATTCTGAATATAATGTCCAGGTTTCTTTTTACACTATAATTATATAACTATTATTTTTTAAGTCTTTTAACCTTAAGGTTTTAACAATAACGTCAAAAATATTTCAATATTACACATTTACATAATTTACAATAATATGACTTAAAAATATTACTCTAAGTAATAATACTAAAATTCTAAAAAATAAATAATAGTATTACAAACTTTAATATTTCAGAAAAAATCATATTAGTTATTATTTGATTAAAAAAAAAATTGTGAAACAGTTAAGTTAATATATAAAAATTATAAAAAATGTGGTGTCTAAATATAAAATTAATTTCAAACATCTATACAATAATGAAAAATATCATAATGACATTTTTCTGGGTCTTACTCTATGTACAAGAGATTTGCTATCGGTCTCATCATTTATTACTGATCTGTCATCCAATGCTTTTATCTTATTCCAATGGGTAATAGTTTTATTTTTGTCTGTTGAAGGTCCCCCAGCAAGACTTAAACCACTATTACTATTTTCTGATTTGAAGAGATTTATATTAATATTCAATTTTTGGTTATCAAATGCTGGAAGTGTATTTGATGTTACACTGTTACATATTGATCCTGCAGCAGTACACAAATTACAAGTATTTAAAAAAGTGTTATTTTTTAAATGTTGATGTCTATTGTCAGAATTTATGGCTGTGTCCCCAAAACCAAACATGGATTTCATACTTAATCCTCTCCCAACCAACAGTGCACATGAATATAATAAAGTTTTTATAACAACTATTATTATTATTGGAATCATAACAATTTGAGTCCACCAAGGAAGATCTTCTATAAGAAAAAATAAAGTTAAAAATAGATTGAAATTATGACATATTTTGGGTTTAGTTACTTAATGCTGCATTATTGAATATATAAATTGAGGTTCCTAAACACTCTAATGGTTTCATAATAATTTTGCTGAGCATTTCAGCTAATACTTCCGTAATTGCTATTGAATACAGCGGATCCAAATGAATTGCTTCATTAAATTTTTTACATTCCTCTAAAATATTTAAAAAGAAATGTACAATGCTGTAGATCAGATGTATTTTTAATTATTATAATTTTTTACCTATATCGGTGTTTTGAAACCAAGAAAATCCATACCAATTTTTTCTTTTAGAATAACAATATTCAGGCATTTGATCCATGTGTATTTTTCTATTTATTTCAGCTTTCTATTTAAATACCGAAAACATATTTAATTTATACATTTATTCTTTTTTGTAACATTGTAATCTAAGAAAATTTATCAATACTTATATCTAAAAGAACCCATCTCAAAAAATTTAAATACCTTGTACATCGTATACCAAGTGGAGAAAAAAGCTAGTAGAAAAATTACCAACATAATTAATTTTAAATTTATAATATTTTTGGAATATTTATAAAATAGTAATAATAGCAATGTGAATGATCCAATGATTGTTAACAGATATAATAAATCAATCATCTAAAATCAAACATTTTAAAAATGTATTAGTACAAATATTATAAATAGAGCTTAGAATGAAATGCATTTATAAATTTTGTTTGAGCCACTTTTAAGGATCCCAAGTTTGTGCAACTTTGTCATAGGGTAATATAAAAGTAGGATTGATATTTTTTGTTTTAGGTGGAAAACCGCCCCTTAGTCTCTTAAAAAACTATTACCTTAGTAGCAACACATTACTAAGTTTGATACAAAGTGATACATATTTAAGTTTTTTTTTATTAAAATAAAATATATTTTATATTTACTTTTTTAAATTAAAAATATCAGTTTACCCTTAAGTAAGCACATATCTTTTTTTAACATTTATAGTTATATGGGGTATTGCTAACCACCAACTTTCAGTTTCTTTCTTAACTTAACAAATATTATTTTTATTTTTACTATGTTTATTTGCGTTATTAGTTGACACAAAGAACTATAAAGTAGTAACACTAACTAGTTTTTTAAGCTATATTACTAAAATTTTAATTATAAAAAAAAAAATTTTTTTTGAAGTTTAACTAATACTTTCCTGACAGAATTAAAAATATAAAATTATAATTTTTTTTTTAAAGATTTAAAAATGAAAATGAAATAAATAATTTGTCTGCCAAATCTAAAAACTTAAAATGCATTTTATCTTTTAATATTATATTGTAATTACTATTTTTTTTTTGTATTTTAAGTTTTAATTTTAAACAGTCTAATAAAATATTTAGAATAAGATCTTTTTTTTAGTTAAAACTGCAACAATAACAGACCAATATTTTCAAGAAACTTTCTCCAAACTAATTTATTTCCGCTATTGTTTGATGTAAATATCATTTTATCCTAACATAGCTGCCATAGCTATATTAGGATAAAAAATAATACTAATGGACATCATCTTATTTTTCATAATTCTGAATAAGTTGCACACATTTCATCAATAGTGTTAACTCTTATTGTATTGTAGAAAACAATGATTTCTGTTTTCGAATTTTCTTCTGGGTACTGACATATCATCATTAAAGTGCATTGTAGAAATCATAATAACATTTTTATTTTTGGAATATATGAAGCAATAGTTATTTGTTTTTCAAACTCAAATAATGTAGTTGTTTCTACTTTCTTTATAGTAGAAATCAATTCAATTCAATTTATTTTTCCTAACTATACCTACTAAAGTAAATTTTTTTGTAACAATTTATTAGCCATAAAAACTTTACAAAATTAATTGTCTGCAAATATGTTGCAACCAGAACTATATATAGGTTTAGCTAACATAGGTATACAATTAGTAGCTTAAGTCTGGTAGATTAAAGACCATCTATTTGTTTTTCATGATACACTTTTATATTTAGTGTGTACTACATTTTAGCATGACAAATAATTCGAATTTTTATGCAATATTGATTGGTTTACTGAATATTTTCTCGTAAAGTAACGAGCTACTTGTCAATTGTTGTGTATTCAGACATAGTTATTTTCACAATTTGCCAAAAATTTCTCTAAATGCAGTAAAATTATTAATATCTTTTTGAACTAGGGATCTCAATAACATCGAATTAAATGCAACATAAAATAAAATAGAATATTTTCATTATCATTGCTGCATGAGATAAAACAATATCCAAACTATTAGTTCTTCAAAAATATTTTAAATTTTGATAACCAGATCTATTTAAAGCTACCAAAACAGCCAATCATAATAATGAAGATACATTGTACTTTAATGTCGTTGAATATTTCAGTGCAGTTGCGACAAGCATGAATTTTAGAAAAAATTGATAGTACTCTACTAAAGATTCACCGAATATTACATTATTTAAAGTAATAATAATATTATTATTATTCACTTGGTGATTTATAAAACCTATAAATGATAAAAGTGGACTGATGAAGAAACATAAAAAGTAATAATATAATTAATAGTATCTTGCTTTTTATAAGACTGCAGTAAATTATAATAAATACTAATAAAAGCCTGTAAAAGGATTAAAACTTAGTATATTTTCAATAAATCAAGGTACAAAGTAAAATATTTCATATTTTTATATTCTTATAAAAGCTTGTAGAACTAAATTAAAGCATAATTATTTCCAAATAAAACAAAGAATTGGAAATATCATAAGTAGATAAATCATTTATAATATAAATAGTCAATTGGTATATAAATGATCCATTCTGTATATTAAATTATCTATTAAACAGTAAAATTAAAAAATATAGACGATTTTAAAAAAAATAATTTAAGCATAGTAATACAAATAAAGTTTTAATAATCAAGTTTTTTTTGTGGAAGTATTATATGCTTACTTATGGGTTAAAAGAATAAAAAAAATTGTATTATTATAATATTTATTTGCTATGCCAGTTTATCATTTTATGGTGATTAATCATAGTTTTACTAATTTACTAAATCCGTTAAATTTTTAACCAACATTTGAAACTGTTTTAAAATTAAAACAAATCTAGTTAACTAACCTGCTTATAGAATGAGTTATTAGATTCTATAGATGATAAAAAATTAATAGTAGTTTCATTTTTTATTTCCTGAAACATAAGACTCAAAATTTGATCAATTTCATTAAAATTTATATTTCCATTTCCAGTTGAAAGAGCCTCAAGCGTTTTAAAATCTTTTACACTTATTGTAACTGCTGTATATGTTTTCAAATAAACATTGTTTATGTTTTTGTAATTTAAATTCTGTTAATATAGAAATATAACTATGTAATAAATTATAAAATTAAAATTTGATAGTTATATATTTACAGAAAGTCCAGTATTTCTTAACATAATATTAATAAAACGTGTAACAAATGTAATGCAACGATCATTTGCACCAATAGTTGCTGGTAATATGTCCAAGTTAGATTTCTTCATAGATTTTGTTCTACGATCATAATTTCTCATATCTAAGGGATCTACTTCATTACTTTGTAATACACATGTCATAATAATAATAAAAAAAAGTCTTAAGTTTATAATCTGCATTTTTTAATCAAATTTTTAATTCTCACAAATTACACTACATTAAATAAAGTTTGACAACGTAAATATTTACGTGTTTTAAACAATATTACAATTTTTTTTATTTGATAAAATAATAATTTTATAAATCTTTATTATTAGTGTTAAGTTATTTGAATTTCTAAATTGACTCAAGTTACCGCTTTTTAACTTATTCGTGTTAACAAAATAAGATAGTATTATCTTTTACAAAAATAAATTAATAATTGTTGATATTTCTAATCAATTTTTATTCCTTGAATTGTTATTTCCCGAAAATTACACTATGTAATTAATTGATTAATTAATTTAATTTAGATGATTTAGAAATTTGAACAATAACCAGTTACTTTGAATTTCCACAGGAGACTTTAAAATTTAAAAAATATTATTGATAAAAAAATTAAACTCTAATAAATAAACTTTTATAGCTTTTCTAATGTCATGTGATTACAATTAAGTGTTTGTAAACGTATTCTTCATCAAATAATGAATTATGAGAGTATTGAAAGTGGTTAATTATTACACATTACACACTGACTGAGAGTTGCCCTTAGTTATGGTAAAGTGTATAGAAAAGTGGCATAACTAGAATATTTTGTTGTGAAGAGAAAAAAATATTCCTTCATATGTTTATTCTTGAATATTTATAAGTAAAAATTTTATTAACTCCTCTAATGGGAAAAATTGTATATTTATAACGTAATTATTTTTGTTTTGAGGACCTATTCCCGTATTACCCCTATACTATGGTTCTATATTAAATTAATGAGTTCAAAGTGTTGTATAGATAAAATATATTTTTAATGATACAATAATTGTAACTTTTGTTGAAAAATAAAAAAAAGAATTGGTTATATTCTTTATTTTACAAAAAAATGTGAAGAAATCATTTATTGATGTTTTTATTGTCGACAGCATGGAATGAGTTCGAATTCCTGAATCTGGCTTTGGATTCATGTAATTTTTCTAAGAGATCATATACATACTTTTTTCTACACTTTTTAAATGTAGTAGGTATAAAAAATATTTAAAGATTTTTTACTTTTTTAATTCATGTCCATTTTATAAAGAAATAAAATATAAGACAGGAAATCTATATAGTTCAACACAATATTTATTCTTATCTAAGATCCACTAAAATTAAGGTAACACTCGATTTTAGAAACAAATTAATTCTAGAAAATTATAGATGGGACTCTAAAAGAAGAAGGCAATAGAGAATTCAATGTCCCTACCCTGTAAATTCTTTTTGCACATTTCTTCCTTGTTTTTTATCACATTAGGTTCTAAATAAAATGTAATAATTTGTAAGATGGTTTTCATATTGAATTTTTAAGTACCTTCATTAAAGAAATTAGAAAAGGCAATAAATAAATGCAAAATAATAGATCATGATTTTAAAAGAAAATATTTAATCATTACAACAATTTACTTTTATTTTTTATCGACTCAAACTTACAACACTACATAAGCATCAATTAAAAAACGGTTTTATTAAGTAAAAATATATTTTAACACTAAAATGTAATAAAAAAAATAATTTTTTCTACAAATATACATGATTTATACATGCAATAAGAAAAATTAATATATTTTAGTTTAAACATTTTATTTAGACATACTGACTAAAATAAAATAAAGAACAAATTATGAAAAACTGTTCATATAATTTAAATGTTTTAAAATATAAAGCTAATATATGCGACTATTATAAATCAAAAATTTACTTGTTTATACTTTATCAATTTTCTTTTTATCTCTTTCATTTTAAAATTTCTGTTTTAAAATGCCATCTTTAATAATCAGTTATAAACATAATATTACTTATTATTAAATGTGTGTCTGGATTAGGCGAAGTCCAGTTTAATGGATTAATAAAGTTCTATAATAACTTTAATGTAAATAAAAGGTTTTACTATATGCAGTGGATTTATCATTTTTAAACAATAACATAATTTATAAATAACAATAATTTTTAGACATATCCATATCTATTTGTCTATTCTTTCCATTTAGTATCATGAAGTACAGAGCATTCTGATTTATGTTCAGAGTTTTGTAAATCTTGATGACTTTTTTTAACGTTGTTATTATTCTTTCGTTATCCACGATTTTTTACCGTTTCACTTTAATGTGAAATAATATGTATTTCCTATAATAACAACATTTTATTAATAAATAATAGAATATCAAAAAAGTTAAAAGCTTTAAACTTAAATACGTTTTTTGTAAATGTCCTTGTAAAACATTATAATCAGATAACAGGTTTTGATGTTAATTAAAGTATAAAATCTCTACTATCTATACATAAATATCTATATATAGACTCTATACTTTAATTATGAGCAAAGCTACAAATTTCTAAAAATGAAAAATTAGCGACGTTTCATAATGTTCACCAAATGAAATCATGAAATCATGGACTAAAATATATTTGGGTATTAAATCATGGATTAAAAATAAATAATTGATATGTTATCAAAAAGAATATTGTGTTTTGTTTATCTTAGTACATATTTCTAAACTGAGACTTGATGGTTTCAAACAACTACTTACTATGGTTCCAAATTTTTAATATGTTTTTATCATTAATATTTAATAAAAATATTAACTAACTGTTATGACTTGTGGACTTATGAAATTAATATTATTATATTTAAAAATTATAAAGCTAGATTAAACGAATTATGTAAATTATCATTCGTATAATAACATGACTTAGATATCTGTAAATTGATAATATTTAAAAATCTTTTTTTCTTTTTGAAAATATTTTTATTTTAAAATGTCTTCTCAACCTAATACTTTATTTCAAAAATTATATAACCGCCAGGTAAATAAATTTTCAATTTTTTGTTATTATTAATTTATTATGATATTGAAATAAATTTACATAATCCATATTAGTATCTTTAAAAATTATGTTACCTAATGCTTCCCATTAAGTATAACTATAATTTTATAAAACACGAACATTCATTGTTAATAAGTTGCAAATTGATGTGTTGCTCCTAAGGGATCTACGAGGGATAGCTGCCTTGGCTATATATACCTTATGTACTAAGGTTTCCTGTTTGATTTATTTACCCTTAGAGATTGCATTACAATATAAACATAACACTTTCAGTTAAGTAATGAATTTATTGTATAAGCTAACTAATAATAGAATAATCAACCTGCTGGCCATTTAGAGATGTTGTTAACCTATCAGGGAGCTAAATGCAACATATACACATACACTAATTGGTTTATGTAGTGATATATTAAATTAAGCCAAGTTATAGTAATAATAATATGTAAGTATCTGAAGTGTTTGTGAGAATCATAAAAAGTCAACTGCTGTCAAAGCCGTATGTATTGAATTGGCCTATTTGTGAATATCTTAAGTGTTTATGTGTACAGTTAACCCTCTAGTTAGTATTGATATGTGTTACTGTGTCAATGCTTTAATGTCGAGTTGGCGGTTTTTGTTAATTATAGAAACAGAGATAAGAGTATTATATGTGATTGTACCAAAATTTATTCAATAAAGTCATATACTGAAAATTAATGATTAGTTTTTTAAATAATTTTTTTATTATATACAGATCTATGGAACCTTTAAGTATAAATTTAACCCTCAAAATAAAGCAAAATATCTATTTAAAGATAGTCCCGACTATTGTAAATTTTTCTTGCCAGATATAATTGAAGATATATCTGAGTAAGTATTAATTAATTGTCAACTATTAAAAACTTTAGCTAACTCACTTAATTATATTTTTCAGTCATGTATTTATGGGATTGACACGCTGTGGCCAATTTTTGTTAACTTATACTATAGCTGATACAGAAAATATGGTACTTGTAGATGGCCCTCTTATTTCTTCATTAAATATGAAGTACAAGCTACACTTTTGGGCATTTAGACCAGGTCGTTCAGCATATAGAGTATCTGAAATTGTACTATTTGAAAACACAGAATTTGGTGATTTTTTAAATATACATATTGTTCAATGGCCTAATCGATCTGACAAAGTTGTAGTATTTGGTGAGAGGTAAATATTAGCAATTTTTTATTGTAATTTTATGAAAACTTTATATTGAGTTATTAAATGTAACATCAATTCCTTACTGTTATTATTATTAAGAAAACTGAATTATGCTATTTAAATTGAGCTGTTAATCAATGGTGTTTATAAAAATATTTTTTAAACTTATTTTTTAAATATAGCTAAGAGAGATTTTGACACCCAAAAGATACGGTACTAATGCTATACTTTAGCCATACACAAAATGATTATTTGTTTGTAATATTTATGTTTATTAGTTTCTAAAAAATCATAGGAAATTGATATATTTAATTATATGACTAATATATTAACTTTATTGCTGAGATGTTACAATTTATTTTTTATTTATTATATTTATACTCCTAAATTCTTTTGATATTTGCTAAATGTAAAATTTAAAAGCTATGTGTCTTATAACTGCATGTGAAAAATAAATTTAGGTAAATTGGGACTTCAAAAATAAAACTTAAAACTCATTTTTATAATATTATAAAAATAAGAAATTAAATAAAGTTTATTTAGTCTAATGTTATGTTTTTGAATGTAAATGATATGTTTTAGTGTTATTTCTGAAGAAGATGAATGTGATATGCATAAAATTTATGTCACAATTGCAACATTACCATCTCTTAGTAATTGTAATGAGTGTCGTTCTGTAGCATATGCCCACAGATATGAAGGTAAAAATCCTATTATGAACATTATAATTTCTTTTTTAAATAAAATTATTTTAATGATTTAGACTTATCAAAATATTACCTTGGAAATACATGTCTGGTTCATGGTCTTACAGTACACACATCTTTCACAGTATCACATCCATATCCACTTTTAGAACCATCTATTTCATTAAAATATGATAATTTTATAGTACTTAACACATGCAATTTTATTCATGTTTTAAGTGTGGACTTAATTTTGGAAAAATGTTTAGATAATGATCAATCAGATAATGTAACTGTTCCTCTCTTTCATAAGTAAGTGAATGTTTTATATTTATGTGTTAAAAATAAGTAAAATTAATTTTTTTAGATAGGTAATTTATAATGTGAAATACTATTTGTTTATTTAAAAAAATCTAAAAATATTACTGTTATTGTATAATATCTACTAGAAATTTTATTTTCTGCTGCAAATTATTTTAATTACTCATATATTAAAGGCTCAATCAAGATTTGTCAGAATTTGGTTATAATATGGCTGTTAAAAATGATTCTCAAGAAAGAGGTGTAAAGAGAAGACATTTTGATACTAGATGTTTTGTATGTATAAAATATAATTTCTAATAAAGTTTTTATTTATTAAGTATACCTATTATTATTGTTTATTTATCATATTATATAAAATAAATACACATAGAATTATTTTTTAATTATCTGTAAATTTATAAATATATTCATAATTGGTTACCACCTTAGGTACCTTAATTTTTTTTTATTTTTACCCTATTATTTTTCTTAAAAGTAATCATTTTTGATTAAGATAAATTTTTATTTCAGTTTGATAAAGAACAAGACAAAGCTATAACAGCTATAAGCCCTTTACCAAGCTACAATAACCATCGTCTTTTAAGATTGAAGGATGCTGAAAAAGTAAATTCTAAGATAAATTAATATATAAATTAATCAAATATTAATCTTATGTTTAGATTTATGACTTTGATGAGAACGATGATAGTTGTACTCTAAAGTTTAAATGGTTTAGAAGGCGAAGAATTGCTGACAAAATGTATGAATTTTGTTCAGAAGAAGAAGATATGGAAAATGTTCACCCATCATCAAAAAAAAATTTTTTAACTCATCATCGTGAGACGCCTGGACCATCAGCTGTGGATCAATCACCATTGTACATCCAGACTGATTATGAAGATGATAGATTAAATGACTGTGATAGAAAAATGTTTTTTGCTCAAGAATTGAATGCAATTATTGCTGATTGGGATTGCTTATCATCACCACGTTCAGTTACCTCCGAAGACAGAGATCTCAAAAGCCCAGAATGTTCTAGTAGAAAATTAACTAATATTTTAAAACCTAGAAATAAAACGCCTTTATCAAAAAACTCAAAAAGCCCATGTGATAAAAAAATCAGTCGTATGCTTGTTACTGATAGTATTCATGGTAAGATAATTACAATTATTTTTTAAAGTTGTTTATTAAATAAATAAAAAAAAATCAATATTCTTAATAGGTAACCAATCAAACAATTCTCTACGGTCTTTATCTTTACCAGGATGTGCTGTTAAACTAGAAAGACAGTATATTGAAGTTGATGAAGAAATTGTGTCCGTTAGCACAGATTTAGATGGTAAATGCAAAAAAAATGATTTATATATTTTTAAACAAAACTGATTAGAAATTTATGTTATACTTTAAAAATATTTTTTTATTTAATATTGAAGTTGTTTTTATTTGTTTTTTTTTCACGAATAGAAGAGGATGGTATAACAGGGTCATTATGTGCATTACCTCTATCTGTTCATGGATCTGGTTGTGCGCAAATGCAAATGGTCAACTCTAGCAAAATTAATAAACAGGTGACACTTACTGATTCTATTATTCAACAATATTCCACTAATATTACAATCAGACTGATACTAAGTAATATAAATATATTTTTTGTACCCTTAAATTCAAATAGCTTATTTTATTTATAAGTCATTTTATATTAAACTGATCTACTTAGTGAAATATTTAAACACGTACTAAATTGTACAATAAGAGATGGTTTTTTTTAATTTTAGGAAAAAAATATATGCGTTATCAAACAAGCAAGTCTAGATTTTGAACATGTCAGCTACAAAGTTGCTGAGATCATTTGTAACCTTGAAGGTCATAAGTTTTGGTGCTATAATGATTATGACTGTGCTATAATTGATGTCTGTAGTATTTTATTTTAATTGAAATTATTATTAATATTTTATTGTTGTTGTACATATTAATGCATTAATTTATTTTTATGATTAGGTTTGTCCTTTAAATGGTGATATATTGATTGCACTTTGTATAAGACTGAATACAGAAGAAGACAAAAAACCTATACCATTATGCCAATCAGAATGTAGCAGGTAAAATACTAAATAAAAACTGAAAAATGTAAAGTAATTTTCAAATATGAGGTTATAATCAAAGTGACTCATTATAATTATAATTGTAAAATTTTAAGTATAAAAAAAAACACATATTACGTAAATTAAAATTTAATAATGGTTGTTATCTTGTTAAACAAATAAAAAAATAATTATATATTAATACACCAACATTTAAAATCATATGGAAAAGCAATTATTTAATTAACTTATTTCAATAATATATTAGCTTAATTTATATGTGTAAAATGGTTATTTTAAAGGATTATCCAAAATAATTGACAACCTAACATTAAATTCTCTATATGATACAAAAAAAATTTTTTTTCTTAGAAAATTTTTTACAATAAAATAGGAAAAAAATTGTTTAGACAAAAACAAAATGGAATTCTTTAAAATGACCATATGTACTCTATTTTTCAATATAGTTTAAAAATAATTTAAATAATCTTATATATAAAATATGTACATTTTGGTAACAATGAAATTAATAATTAAACAAAAAAATTATTATTACAAAAATTGTAACATGCACTCAAGTCTTTGTAAAGTCTTCGTTTATCTTTGGCTAAAAATATTATCAAAAATTTCAGTCGCCAAATAGCTAAAAAAAATGTTTTGGTACAAACAAACTTAAATCATCCTTTTGAAGTATTAATTGTGATCATAGCAAAAATTTGAGTGATTTAAGAGGACTTAACCTTTTCAAAAATTATAAAAAGTAGTCTTAGTCCCCTCATAAAATTTTTATGTATAGAATATAAAATGTACATACTGTTTTAAAATTGGACATTGTTTAAAACATTTTTAAATTTAAAAATAAAATAAAAAGTTATTATATTCATCAGACTGGGTTATTGCCTTAAAACAGTCACCACAATTTGACAATATAAAATTTGTATTATGTGATATTTATAGTAAATTGAAGTCATAGGGCATCAATAGCTAACAGTATCTTTATCACTTTATTTGTTTTTTATATTGCTACTACAGTATCTTATTGATAGCCACCTACTTGTGCACCACAAGTTAAAGTTAGTTAAAGAAATATTAGAAAATTATATACATTTATATCTGATAAAAACAATTTTAACTAAAAATTATTTTTACTTGTGTTGTATAAGTCTATGCTTATTTTGCATTTATTATCAATTTTTACACAACTAAACACTTTTTTAATAATATTTAAATCTGATAAGCACCATGGAAGTTAGAATGTATTTGCGAACAATTCCGGTAATCAATTTTACGGTTATCGTCAAATTTCTCCATATACTTCTGATAAAATAAATAATGTAACATTAGTTAATAAAAATATTATAAAAATTAATGTTAAAGTTTCTACGTAATATAAGTAAAATTTGGTTAAAAACATATATAATATATATATAGAACATAAATAAGGAATAAAATAAAATATTATATTTTTATTGCAATAAATATTTGACATATATTTGTAGTTATTAATATTAAACACATTTTACAGAGGTTTTGAAACAAAATGTGTAGTACTTTGGAATCCTCAACATGATACATGTTTCCTTGAAGCATACTGGCAGTTAGAAATAATAACTAATGATCCAAATTGTTCCAGTTGGAATCCAGCACGGCATGAAGCTAATATACTCCGACAAACACCTTTAGGGTTTTTTAATGTTCCAACAGCAAAAGAAGTACGATGTTTATCCCATGAAGTGTGGTCACGACAAGTAGGAAATATTAGTAAGTGTTGTTTTGAATTTCATCTACTTTATATAGTTCATCGAAAATAAAAAAAATTGTAAAGTAAAATAATATCTTTGTGAGAGCATGTATGTATGTATGTTTGATACACTCTGTTTGTAAATTAGAATTTAATTCTAATTCATTTAATTCTTTAATTAAATGTATTTTGATAGTCAAGATAAAATTATTTCTAAAGTATATCTAAATATGATTTTTTTGGACCTTGTATTTTGTATTAATATACCAATTAATATTTTTAAGTATACAAGAGGTAGTTAAATATTCTAGTGTTACAATACAAAATTTAATTACTAAATATTTTGTTTTTAGATCCATCATTGCTAGAAATTAGAGATGATGAAAATTTAATTACAATTTTAAGGAATCGAACCGTAATAACAGATGATAGTAATGTAATGGTTTTTAGTCGACATAGATTGCCAATTTAGTCATTTTACTTTACAGTAAATTTAGTGTTTGATAACACTTCTTTGGTGTGTGATATATTCTTAAACTATTTTTTATGACGAACTGAATTAAGTATTAATTTACAGTTATTCTATACAAATTTATTTAAAAAATAATTAAAATAATAGAAATAATTTTTTTGCTGTACTCATACTTTTGCATACAATTTCTTAAAGTAATGAATCATCATTATTATGTAGTTTTCTTTTCAAATTATTTAAGTTAATATTATCTTATTTCATAAGTTTTATCTTGTCTTGAAGTGTTAAATTTAGAGTTAAATATAATTGTGTTTCATGAGTATTTAAAACTTATTCAAAAGAGTACCTTTAAAAATTTGTCATTGTTAACATTTTTCAGTTGTCAAAATATTTAGATAATAATAACTTTATTTTTTATTCAGATATAAAGTGTATAATATTTGACAATTTTATAAACTAAAAATGATAAAAATACCATTTCATCAAATGAAATGTTTTATTTCTTTAAAATAAGTTAATTTATTATTAATTTTTCTTCCATTAAAAATATTTTGTTTAGTCAATATTTTAACATCACTTTATAATTTATTTAAAAAGAAAAGATTGTTTTTTGAACAAACTAGTTTTACTTTTTTTTTTTTAGTAATTAATTTTAATTTAAAATCGACCACTGTGCAAATATTTTTATGAAAATATCTTTTGTGCTTTTTAATAGTTGGACTTTACATATTCTTTCAGAATACTTATGCTTTACTTACTCAAGTACTATGTAAAATACTTATTATGTCATAAAGGTGCTGAAATAATGTAAAAAAAGTATTTATTTCAATTATTTTCTATTGTAATATTTGTTTTATGATATATTGTTTAATAAATGTTCAATTATTGTTAGTTCCTGTGAATAATTTGGTAATTTTTAAATAATTTAATGTAAAATTATTTACTTATGTTCAAAACAAATTATTTCATTATTTTTATGACAACCTTATAAAGCTTTTTGACACAATAATATATTATTTATATATATTTATTTGTTTTTGTCATTTATTCAATGGTAAAAAATAAAAGTAAAAAAAAACCTTAACAAATAAATTAATTCATCGTTTTTACCTTAAAATCTAAATAATAATACTAATTAAAGTTCAATATTCGAGACAATTAAACAATAATAATGACTATGTCTTCCTGTACAAAATATGGTGTGAGAGTCTATAGTCTTGTGTATTCACTAAATTTGATACACAACATTACATTTCATTAAAATAACAACAGTTATATTTATAATATATATTTACAAATTACATACAAATATTATCGTATACTTTATGACACTAAATTTTCATAAAATAAAATTTATTAATAGGTTTATATTTTATCTTGAAGAAAAGTCTGATGTTCGGTTAACGTCCTAGCCAATTATTATTCTATTTAAATGGAACTTAAAAATGTAGAGTATTCATGGGTTATTAACTAATGGACGCAAATCTTCTCTTGACTTAATATATCATTTTTACTTTTGAGCAACTAGTTAATTATTTAGTCTATTCACTGGCATTCGCTTTCAGTATCACTCTTATCTGTAAAACAAAAATCGATTCTTCAGTTTTGTTACATTTTAGACATATATCACAACATTAAATTACTATTCTAGAAAAATTTTCTCACCTTTTTTACCATTGTAAGCATGTCTTTTAAGTCTATCGTACAAGTCTTCTTTATTACCATAAATGCTAGCATTTGATCTAGCTAAACTATTCATTTTTCCGTTGTGTAGACCTTCTGTATGTAAAAAGAAATGAATTTATAAAGATAGAAATAATTAAATTTACTCGATAGTAATCCGATGTTAAATGTTTACCTTTCATGTAGGTTTCATTATAGAAATTAGGTATTTCCCATCCATCCTCTTCGTCGTCATAATAATGCGCATAAGTAGAGTGATGTGATGGTGCTATGGACTCAGCGTAAGGAGTAGCACCATAATAGAAGTTCACTTGAGACCCAGTTTGGTCATTTGTTTGAGCCATGAGTTTTTTGGGTTCTTTAACTCGTTCAGAACGAGCACATATCATCCATACGAACAGCGCGATGACAATAAGGAATATGACAGTTGCAGCGATTCCACCAGCAATGTATGCAAAATCAGATTTATCCTCACAATGTGGTCCTATGAATGATCCCACACATCTACAAGATGGTTGACCGCGAAGATCCTTGACACATGTACCCTTATTTTCACAATAATTTTCACACACGTCTTTACACACTTTACCGGTACCATTAAAACCTGGTCGGCATTCACATTTAAAGTCTGATGTTTCTGGTATTAACAGACAGTCAGCATTTATGTCACAATGTTTTCCGGCTACATTTGCATCACATGGGTTCCAACATTCAGATTTGCTCGTCTGTTATGCAAAAAACAATTATTAATAAATTTCACATTTTCACTTAATCACATAAAAAATAGTTTAATGTATGCTTACAGCTGATACAGTCTTTGTACTCATATTTGGCGGACATGGCAAACAACTGGTCTGTTGAGTAGCCGGTTGATAAGTTCCCTTCTTACATGAAATACAGCTATTTTGTGTAGTATTCAAGTAAAAACCTATATTAGACAAATAAATTAGTAAAAATAGTTATTTTTTAAAATATTTTAATATTTTACCTGGAACACAAATTGGTAGAGAACATTCTTCAATTGTGGATGAACCAGATTGTTTAGTGGTTCTTCCAGTTGGACATTGTTGACATGCAGGTTCGACTCCTTGTGTCCTGTACGTTCCTCTTGGACATGGTTCACATTCTCCTTCGGCTCCCAAATGCATTCCATCAGCACATTCGTCTCTACATTCCTATTATACAAAAATAAATAAGCATTTAAATAAAATTATACTTCACTGGTCAACTAAGTATTAAATCAAATACTAACCTCTTGAGATACAGCTTCAGTTGTTCTGGTTATTTTGCCGAGACCACATAATAAGCATTTAAAACTTCCTTCTGAAGGTTGATAGAAACCATAACCACAACTCCTACACAGACCAGCTTCGTCATCATAATATTTACCAGCCGGACATCGTTCTTTACACTGAGATGCTGAACGAGCGCCAGTAGTAACTGTCACTCCTTGGCGGCCGGCAATAGCTGGACATACGGAACACTGTAGTTGACCAGATTCACTTTGGTATGAACCCACAGCACATGGAATACAGGATTTTGTATCCTTATCAAAGTAGCTTCCGACGGAACAAGGTACTATATATACAGAAAGAATATAAAAATTATTTTTTTTTCTTTTTAACTATAAATTATTTCGACATTAAAATATTAATAATAATATTTTACCGCAATCTGGTGCCATCACAACTTCACCAATTGGGCACGCATAATCAGACTCTAAGCTCAAGGAAGCAGGGTCAGGAACTGTGTTAGGTAAAATGTCATGCACATCAAACTGATCTTCTTCGAGAATAAGTTTTTCTAACAGTCTCTGTACATTTGTTCTCTGATTAGAGTTTCCATTTACTACAGGATCACTAAAATTGAATCACTCATTAATATTAGAAATAAAAATATTTTTATATATTATTAAGTATACTAACTTAATGGCAGGGAAGGAAATTTGCACAGAATAAGTGTCACTGGCTTGTCTTTTTTCCCTATAATAAATTTTATTGTATTATGATCAGGGCTTCAACAAAAAAAAAAATTAAAAAAATTACCTTATTAATAGTGAATTGATATCTCTTGCAGGCCTTGCAGTTTTATGGTCACATTTTACGTCAATATTTAAATCTTTACATTCACGAGTACCTTTAAGAGAATATGAACACAAGTTCCATTCTCTATTTAACGAGTTAATAGCATTTCGGACTTTTTGTCTTAATACTCCTTGACCGGCTTCGTTACATAATACTGAAGTAGGGAATTTCATGTTAACCTTAAATACTCGTTGAGCTGGCTTAGATGCAGAACAAGCCGGATATACGGTTAGTAAAGATGGATTTTTAGTAGGTCTCCAAAATCCTTCAGCTCCACAAGTGTAGAATTTCGGAACATCTTGTGAGAATCTAAGTCCTGAGTTACAACTTATTTCACAAACTTTAAATTGTCCTCCAGAACCCCAATCTTTACATGTTTGTTTTCCTCCAATAGGGTCTGCTAATATTGGACAGAACTCAGCTAAAAAAAAGTAAATATATCAAATAATAATACTTTAAAATAAGATAAGTAGAAATAAGTATAGTATTTTTATTTAACATAATTTTACTTACATATAACGTATACACTAAAAGAGCAAACAGCCGTATTACCGACTTCATCGAAAGCTACATATGCAACACGATAGGTTCCCCAGAGTAATGTTTGACCAGGCTTGTGACCGCTTTTTTCTTCAACGCGAATTACACCAACATTATCAGTAAATTTAGGTTCATCCCAATTCACCACTGTTGATCCGTTTTTAGCAATCACCCATAAATCACCTGGACAATATTCTACTTGTGGTGGGATCTTATCAATTTTCAGTTCTTCGCAGTTTGGTCCCGTGTATCCTGCTGGACAAGAGTGCTGACTACATCTTGATGGAACTATTCTTTCGACGCCTCCTTGAATGTCTTCATATCCAGCCCATGTAAGTACCAAACCTTGGTAAAGTACTGGTTCAGTTCTACAATCGCGCACTTGTTTTTGTATTTCATTTGTTACATCAAGCGCTCGTCCCCAAATTTGTACTTTGTTTAATTGTCCTTTGAATCCGGTTTCTGTGAATGTTTTTTTATCTGTTTTTGGTTTACCGAGTACAGCCCAACCACTGAAATTATTTTTTTTATTAAAACATATTTTTTATTAGAATAAATATAACAAATTTTATCAAAAATTCTACACTTACAATTCTGGCAACTTTCTTCCGGTGCCATAACCTTCCATTTTACTAGCAATTAAACCTTCAGTGATCAATGTTAAAGTTCCTTGATTCCATAAAATAGCAATGTGATGCCATTGGCCATCGTTAATTGTAGTATATTCGTTGAAGGGTAAAAATACATCTTGGAGTTCTGAAAATACTGACACTTCTATACCGCTAGCATGAGCTTGTAGGATTACTTTCTGTTCTCTAACTACATGTGGTGAACTATTTATGAAATACAGAAATAATAATGTAGTAATAAGATATAAAACATTTTTTATTTTTTTCTGTACTCACGTAACACTGTAAAGCGTGAAGAATACTCCTGGTTCATCTTTTTGGGAGTATTGAACCCACATAGCTATAGTAAAACTATCTCGATTTCCAGCAAATTGGAACGGGACTGAAAGTGCTGCACTACTTAAAGTTTCATCTGGGAAACTAAAGTCATAGTCCACTTGGATTGCTAAAATATTGAAATAAAAAATGTTATTTTATTTAAATAATTATGTTATGGACTTGAAGTACATACTTTTTCTACAATCATCTCCTGTCAAGTTAAATGGACATTGACAATAGAACTTATTAGTAAGGTCGATACAAGTAGCTGATGGTGGACATGAATTCTCCTTACAGTCAATAATATCTTCACCGCAGTTTTTGCCAGTAAATCCGGGAGGACAAATACATTGATAGCCAGGCCCATTATCGACACAAGTAGCTCCATTTTTACAAACATTAGCTTGACATGCGTCGAATTCATATTGACATCCAATTCCACTATAATCATTTGGACATGTGCAATTTAACCCGGATCCAAAGTCCTGACAGCTACCACCATGCATACAAGGATTACCAATACAGCGTTCTGGAGCTGTTTCACATTGTTTTCCGTCTGTTCCAGATGGGCATCTATTCAAATAATTAAATAGTTTAGTATTAGTTTGATTTCATTTTTTTTTACAAAAAATAATCAATGAAATATTTAGAGAAAATAAAAATACTTACACACAGAAGTAATCCTGGAATAAGTTAATACAAGTCGCATCGTTGTGACAAGGTTTACTATGGCAAGAACTTATATCGTTTTCACATCGTTTACCAGTCCATCCAGGTGGACATTGACAGGAAAAATTATTAATACCATCGATACATTTACCATTATTCATACAAGGATTTGAAGCACAATCATCGATATTCTTTTCACACATATTACCAGTATAACCAGGATGGCACATACATTTGTAGTTGTTGTCCAAATCTATACATTGATCTGTTCCTTCTGGACTGCACGGATCACTTAAACATTCATCGATACCAGCTTCACATTGGAGACCTAAAAATCCAGGTCTACAACGGCATACAAATCCATCCAACATATCTATACATGATCCTCCATTTTGACAAGGTTCAGAAGCACAATCATCAATCAGATGCTGACACTTTTTACCGGTATATCCAACGTCACAAGAACATGAATAACCGTTTACTAAGTCTGTACAATCTCCATTATTTCCACAAGGATTGCTTGCACATTCATCAATATTGATTTCACATGCATTGCCAGTCCATCCTGGATGACAGACACATTGATGGCTAAATAGTTTATCAATACATATACCATTTTGGCATGGATCGGCTTCACATATATCGATTTTGGTTTCACATCGTTTTCCAGTAAAACCCGGTGGACATGCACACTTAAAGTCATGCACAAGATCAGTACAAGCTGCTCCCAATAAACATGGACGTTCCGCACAATCGTCAATGTTCACATCACAATGTACTCCTTCCCATCCTGGCTGACATTCACATTTGTATCTACCTTGTTTAAGAGCAGTACATGTTGCTGAATTTTTACATGGATTATTTGGTTCTAAGCATGGATTAATCTAGAAAACATACATAAAAAAAATGTATTAAACAATTTAAATGAATAATTGTCAAATATACTAACAGTCGTATCACAATTTGAACCCGTGTAACCACTACGACAAAGACACGTATAATTATTAAATCCCGGTTCATCTTTACACATTGCTCTTTCAGGACAAGTATCATTTCTACAATCGGACTTTTCTTCTTGACAATTTATGCCATTGAATCCATTTTTACATTGGCAGCGATAACCTTGAGGAAGATCTATGCATGAACCTCCGTTATAACATGGTTGAGATGCGCATTCATCAATATCAATTTCGCATCTTTTTCCAGAAAATCCAGCTGGACACAAACATTGAACACTATGACCAAGTGGAACACACAGTCCACCATGTAAACATGAGTTTTCTGTACAAACAAGAGACTGACATTCATCACGTCCAGCAGCTCCCACGCCTTTAGTTCTCATATTCGTTGGACATTCTATGCACACTGTTTGTCCACTTAAAGGTTGGAAAAAGTTCATTGGGCAAGGTGAACAAGGAGCTAATCCAGTTTCAGAATATTGACCAGGAGGACATTTGGCTAAAAATTAATATTTATTAAATACAAAAAAATGATATTATATTCATAAACTTAAATATTGGATGGTTAAAATTTCTACAAACCTCTGCAAAATTCTTTGTTGGATGCAGCAGGTTGGTAAGTATACATACTGGTTGGGCACGATTGACACTCTTTAAAGCCAGATGTTGGTGGTTCAGCTGTATAACTATTTTTTGGACATTCTAAGCAAGGAACAAGTCCAGTTGGCGAGTAAGTACCATATCCACAAACTGGAATACAGTCAATTAATTCTTTAGATCCTAATTCTTTAGTGTACGTTCCATTTGGACATCTTGTGCAAGCTCCTTGTCTATCTCTATCTTGATAGTACCCACGAGCGCATGGCATACAACTTGTTTGTTTTAATCCAGCATATGTTCCAGCAGGACAATGTACTAAAAAATATGATTTAATAACTTTCAAAATCCTAATTTAATATATTACTTATACTTACGGCATCGAGGAACTTGGTTTGTATCCATATTAAGAACTTCCCCAATATTGCAAGCAAATCCTTTAGATACTGACGATCTAAGAGCTTTCAATGGAGGACATTGATTTGCAACTGCTGAAATGTTTAATAGTGATTCAATAGCTGCACTAGCATATGAAACACTCAAATCAAACACCAAATTTAATGTTGAACCACAGAAATCGTATAATTGAGGTTGACGTACTTCTGGACGTACACCCAAAACGAAGTCGACCTATAGATTTAGTATTGATTAATTAATATTAGTATGTATTACACGAAAAACAATTATTTTATGAAGGCAAGAAGAATTATTTTTTATTTCAAATATTATTTTAAATTTACCTGAACTAAATTTTCATCTAATAACTGTGGTTTAGTGTCAATAAATGAAACATTCATGTTGACTTTAACAGCAGAACACCTTTCAGTTAATATATTGTTAAGTGATTCATAATATTGACTCAAGATATCCACATATTGTCCAAGACATAATGATGGTACAGCACCATTAGCACGATATGTTATTGATGGGATTACATGATAGTCTGCTTGCTGTGTATCTTCTGAAACACAATCTGGCACTACTGATGTTGGAGACCATGGACTTCTTGGTTCACAAATAAATGATTTTGCTGGTTGGCCATCAGTAAATCTAAATCCAGCATTACATGTAGCTATACATTCTAAACCATCATCAGACGGTAGACATTTCAAAGCTCCATTTGAAGGTGGTTTTAGTTCCCAATCGACACAAGGAGTAGCTTGTACTGATACCTAAGTTCAATATTTTTTATTAAAAACTTTATTTCAACTTTATTATTTAAATACCAACTTACTTGGAAGTAACACGACGCTTTATTTCCAAATTTATCTGTGGCCGTAACTGTTACATTTTCAAAATCTCCAATAGCAATTGAAGCACGGTCTGGGCTGAATACAAGTGAAACTTCTCCTGAAGCATCTGTAACATTTATTCTGCGGCGAGTTTCGTTAAAGTTCACTAAATAATTATCTTGTTGATTTACTAATTCAATAACATAACTTTGTGGACAACTCAATTGAGGTGGTGTTTCATCTATTTGACGTAAATAAAAATTCATTATAAAATTTTCCAAAATAAAATAAATATTAGAACATTTACCTGTCACTGTAATATTAATTTCACATATTGCTACGTTTCCATCAAAATCGAATGCTACATACTTGACAGCAGTGTCTTGGAAAGTGTAAAATGGTAATTTGAAACTTTGAGGTTTTATTTCAAGTCTAGCTATACTACCACTATTATCAATAGGGATGGGTTCTGTTATATTAACTGGTTCAATTCCATTTGGTCCACGGCGTACCAATAATGGTTGAGTTGGACAATTTTGGAAAATCGGTGGTTCGTTATCTAATAAAAATTATTGAGAAAGAGTTTAGTTTTAAATTATAATTTTACAATTTTAACAACATACCAACACATGGTGAATGACCATAATCAAAACCTAATAGAGGTTCAACTTTAGGTTCTTCACAACCCATCAATTCAAATTTCAAACATGCATTATCCATGTAGCTTACGATTCCTATAGAATTTTAATTACCAATTTATAAAATGATATGAAATTAATGTAGATATATTGTTAATATAGATTTTATAACTAACCCAAAATAACGAATCTTGCTTGAACAAACTTGGGTAAAGTAATCATTGCAAGTTCTCCGAAGTTACCAGGATCTCTCATAGTTAAATTGAAATTAGGAAAGTAAACAACAAAGTTTTCCTTTTCCTCTTGTTTATAGAAGAAACGAATTTCAGTGGGACGTCCAACAATATCATTGGTAATAACACCTTTGACAAGGATTGCCTATATAGTATAATTTATACATTTTTCATTAATATTTTTTAATTAAAAAATTCTTAGAGAAGTAAATAAGAAGAATTTTTTTTTTACCTTAACCCTGTGAACTTGTCCAAGATCTACACTGACATAAGTAAATGCTTCTTGCTTACCGCACCAACCAGTTGCCGAATTTAAACGAATGTTCCTTGCTTCATAATTTGGTCTAAACAAAATATTTAATTTAAAATTTTAAATAAATTAATTCGAAATATTAGCATTTTTAATTAAACCTTTCTGAAGTAGCATTAATAGCCGAATCTGGTATTCTTCCGGAAGTAATACCCAATGGTTTAATAACTCTACATTCTGGTTCACGAATACAAGAAATTGGTCGTGGATTGATTAATATATATCCAGGCTTATTACAACCAAATCGCACTTCAGATCCTTGTTCATAACTTGTGGCTAATTGATATCCATCAGTTGGTCTACCAGGATCTTGGCATACTGGACCTTCACACCGTAAGTCACCAAAATCCCAAACGCCATTAGCTTGACAGCGAACAACATTGTCGTTCTTATCAGTTTGTCCGGCTAACTTAAATGTATCTTGACATCCAAAGAAAAATGAAGACTGATATCTTGAATCCTTGAAATTACCGTATTCGGCTCCTGCTGTAGGCATTGGAACACCACAATCTACTCTTGGGCACGAAGGGGTTATTCCAGATAACCAGTAATCCGGAAAACCCTTTAAAAAAAGTTATTAAAACTACATAATAATAAATAACTAGAAATACATACTGGTTTTGGATCATATACACACTGTCTGAAACCTGAACTAGCTGTTCCTCGAAGAACACGTCCAGGGTTTTCACATTTTAAGGTAACATTTTCTTTAAATGGTACAAGAACAGCATCTTTTTCAAAGCGACTTACTTTCAAACCTTCTATTTTATCATCAGGAAGAGATACACACTTTGCAACTAAAGAAATGTTTTAGAATAAAAATATAAGCTTATAAGATGTTTAAATACAAAACGTCTATATTTGTATAATTACATTGACATTGTGGTACTGTTCCATTCCAAATGCCAGTTGAAGTACATAAAAGAGACGATGAACCAGACATAATGTAGCCAAATTTACATTGGAAACTAACTAAATCTCCAAAATGGTATGAATCTTTTGTAGAAAGAATAATACCATTTTCAGGAACTACTAGAGTAGGACACATTATAGGAACGCATGTTTTATTTCTTTGATATACATCCCCATCTCTTTCACCAGTTTCGAATTCATTAATTGAAAATCCAGCCGTTCCGTTTTTAACATAAAGCTCATAACCAATATTACAGGAACACGCATAACTTCCTGGATTATTAATACATTTTTGTTGGCAACCACCATTGTTGATTGCACATTCATTAATATCAACACAATCTAATCTAGTACATCCAACTAATTCGAGTTTTAAACATGGTGCAACTACGTAATCTTGAATCTTAAGACGAATATATTGAGCTTCAATTGGTATTGGGAAATTAAGGACTGACAAAGTTGGTTCCGATATACGAAACTCTACTGCCGTGCCATCAGGATTTGCATAATCCCTAAATACGTCAGTTAAATTATTAGAATATTGAATTCGAATAGCTGATGTAAATGCGAATTTATTTGAGCCTCTCATTATTCCCTGTGATCTGAATCCACGAATAACAGTTGGTGCTCTTAAGTCAAACATTACCCAATTGTCACCAGGTTCAACATGAGTGCCACACCAACCTCGCATTGTGTTTAATCGTATCATCTAAAAAAAATGATGAATTATTTAAGTTTGAAAACAAGTATAAATGTTCTAAGATGATAATAATGATAATAATTATTGTTCAATTAATGCGTATAATACTAATGATATTATGTAATATAATTTAAATTACCTCTTTTGTGTACGACTGCTCAGCACCAGATACAGTTATAGAATCATCGGAAATTCCTCCATTAATTAAACCGAGATCTCCAATTGGTCGACAATCCATTGCAGGTGCAAATCCAGGTTTACATTTGCAATGGAATGATCCTGCACTATTAACGCATTCGGTTGATGCTAAATCACATTGACTGGTAGCACATTCATTTACATCTAAAATAAGAATTATATAGCAATAATTAATTGAGAGTGTATTAATTACTCAAGTCAGTAAAAACATTCATTACCTTCACATTTTGGAACATTTATAAATGTTTGGTTTGCTCCACATTTAATAATTGACGATCCCCCTGAAAGTTTAAATCCTCTGTGACATTGAACTCGAGCCTCATCTCCATAGAAGTATTTGCGTGTTTGGTCCATTACAAATCCATTTGCAATTTCAGGTAATTTTGCACATTCAGCACCTGAACAATATATGGAGTTTTTAATATTTAAAATAATTCTATTAATAACCTATTACTTACGAGAACAAATTGGAACACCGCTAGACCAAGTACCATTGCTCATACATAAAATCACTGGATGTCCGGATCGTACGTATCCAGATTCACACTGGAATCTAACAATAGTACCATAGCTGCGACCTCCTCCATTTAAAATAGTAATATTTGCATGTGGTGTTTCCGCGAGTAGTGGACATTGTGATGCTAACCAAATAATTGAATAATAATTATTTTTTAATAACACTAGTATTTTAAAAATAATACTTTTTACTAACCTAAGCATGTTGGTAATCTTTCCCAGTGCCCATCAGCCAGGCATGATACTTTTTCTATAGGTTCATTAGAAGGAAAAGCAAAACCAGCATAACACTGATACATAGCTTGTCCTCGATATGTTACATTAGTCGATCCAGTTGAAAATCCATTATCAATTTGAGGAACAGGACCACAGTAAACCTCTAAAATATAAATTAAAATATTTTAAACTAAACATTTAATGTAACATATAGTTGAAATACATACCTTGGCATTTTGGAATATATGAAACTGACCAATTTCCTCCGATTAAGCATTCAGTTGTAATTTTTGATTTTCCAGTTGCAAACTCTTGTCCTACAGGGCAAGTAAACATAACAACTGTTCCAAATGCTGTATCTCTATTTGACTCTAATGCGCCTTCTCCGGGTTTCAATGGTGGACAATCTTTAATATTAAAAATTAATAAAAGCTTTATGACTTTTAGTAAAATTAATATGATCCCATTTATATTTTACCAGCTGAAAAAGTAGCTTGCCATCCTTTTTGGTTGTGTAAAGCATCAGTCATAAATCTAACTAACATTTCTCCACTAGCTGCTGTTAGAGTTATCTTAGGTGGTGAATTTCCAGTAAACCCATCATTGGAATGTAATCGTAGTCCACTAGTACTTCCTCCATCATATACTTGAACAAAATCAGATTGGTGAACAGTAAAAGAATCAAATTTCAATGATAATGGACTCATTGAAGGATTTTTGACTTTGATGAGACACTCTAAGTTGCTCGGATAGTTAGCTATACCATAAGTTGGTGATGAAATAGTACCGTTTGTAGCTATGAGAGTAGCTTTGCATCCTTGTGAATACTTAATTTTGAATCCTTTTTTACTATCACCTAAACTAGTTTTAAAGTATAGGTAAATTTGATTTCCAGTTGACATTATTAATTTAGGATTATTATCTATAGATCCAGTCAGTCGACCAATTGGTTGACTTTTTGGTGAATCTCCATCTCTTATCAGTATGAAATCTCTATTTTGTTCCAAATCTAGCGATTCGATCTAAAATACATAAAACATAATAATCATAAATAAAGAAGTAAATGATTTATAAATGTCAAAATATACATACTTCCAATGTGATTATTCTTCCCACTTGAGCAGTAATCATGTATAAACACTCCAATCCTCCAGGATAATTGTTAGGAAATCCGGGAGAGGTCAATGTTTGTGGTTGTGAAGTAGCTCTTAAATTGCCCCCACATATTTGAGGCTCTGTTTTCCATGATGCCCTATTATATTATTATAATTTATATTTGTTTATATAAATTTTAATGAATAAATAACATTTTTATTTACCTGAATCCTTTGCGCTCAACCGAAGCGTCAGTGCTAAATTTAATAATCATGAAATTCGATGCCGATACAAACATTTTATTACTTAAATCTAATTTTCCAGATAAAGTAGCTAAATTTACGGCTTTATCTTCAGTTCGACCACCAACTAATATCTGTACTGTATCAAAGGATTTTTCTGTTTCAAATTCTTGGAACTAAACATGATTAAAAGTCAAAAAATATTTCTGAAACAAAAGTAAGTACACTTAATTTACCTGAAGCAAAATATTATGCCCTTGTGGACCTTCTAATGTCCATTTACAGTTTGCAAGGGACTCGTATTTATGGGGATAATTTGGAGATTCAACAACATCGCCACTATTAGCCATGTAATAATGACAGTTCGAGGAACAATCTAATTCATCTGACCAATCGCCACAGTCATTTTGTTTGTCACATTTGAAAATAGAGTTAATACATCGTCCATTAGAACAATGAAACGAACCTATAAATATTAATAAATTAATATTTTGAATATCGATTTGAAAATGAATAAATTATAAAAACTTAATAATTAAATATTTCACTCTAACCTGTTGGGCAGGCATTGGCACGGCATAAAAATGGTAAAAGTGATTCGCAAGTCTGCAATTCCCAAGATTGTTGATCATCAGTCACAGTTACATCAACACATTCACCCGATGATGGATCAGGTTGAGATAATGACCAGAATCCTAAAATATAAATAATAAATTTTAATAATTAATATAATATTAATTAATTACTTTAAGTGCTTACCGGAGTATTGAGAAACTAAAACTCCTCCGGCATATTCTAGAGTATTTGTTCTGAGATCGTCTAATGAAGCTAAACCCAACCAATATCGTTGGTTGTTTCTATCGGCTGGACTAAGACTTCGCCTTGCCAACGAAGCGGTATAGTTATTTTCAGCATATGATTCAATTAGTACCAAATCACTTCCATAACTTTTATTTAAATTTAAAAATAAATATTTTAAATAATGAAAAATTTCAACGGTAAAAATAATTTAAAAGGATATACCGGTTACAAAGCTGAGCCGCATTTTCCCATGAATGTTTTATGCTAAAAAATTTATAGCAATGTAATCCTTTTAGCTCCCAACCTGTAATGTATATAAACGACAATGCAATTAATATTATTTTTATGTCTGCTTTAATAATACGTCCTTTAATAACTTAAATTAGTGATTTTATACATTTTTGTAATTTGGGTTAATTTTTTGTTTCGAAAAATTCTAGTACACATTTTTGCACCAACAAAGATAGTTTACCCACGGATTCTAAATATAATTGAAACTAAAACACCATTGGAACTATGAAACGGTATATGTTTCGTTACAGCTTCTTTTATAATCGAACAGAATAGCAATTGTTATTAAATGTGACATACATTCTTTAGATTGTCCATACAACGTTCAAGATTAGACAATGAATGTCGTCGTACAGCGCTTCCATAAAACAGGAATGGAGTATTTCTTTTCTATAAATTATTACTTTTTCCTACTTTGGTATTTTTTTCTGGTTATTGTTCATTTTCATTCGGTGAAACTTTAAATGACCATAAACGTTTTGACGTAGAAAATGAAACTTCTTATAGCATGTGACTAAGTATTTTAGGTCAAAATATAGTTGACGTTTTTAAAACAAGGCCCGCATTGTAATTGATCTACTGATACAATTAACTACGTCCGAAATAAGGACCAAACACGACATGCTGGTAGAAAAGAATAGCGCAGTAAACAATTATTTTTTTAATGTATGGTGTAAAATACATGATTACAAAGTATGTGCGTGATATATGTTCGTATTGCTAAACACAATTTTTTTTAGAAAGCAATACTCTAGAGAAGTTCTTCACAATACAAATATTTATTATAATTAAATCTGCAATTTTTACACAGATAGAGTTTATTAAAAGTAAATCTATGTAATATTATTTTCAATAAAAATAGTTAAAACCATATGTGTTTTATTGATGTATTCTGATTAATATTGTCATGATTAAGAAATTAAATCACTGATCAAATTTCAGTTTCTTAATATTAAAAACTTTATTTAAGAAAATAAAAAACATAATCATTAAATATTTTATACGAGAATGAAATTTTTCGTGAAAAATAAAATAGTCAAAATGTTGAAGATTTTTATTATTTTTAGTCGATAAAATTTAATATTTCATGCATCAATGAAATCTCATTGTAAATCTGAACCTGTCTATAAATTAAATTAATAAATTTTAATATTATTAATTGTGACCTACATGTTTTTATTATTAACCGTACAAGTTTGACATTAGTGAAGGCAATTAACCACCATGGCTAATGAAATAATCTACAAAAAATTTTGATAATTATAATTATAATTAAAAAATAAAAAATCGGACTAATGAATGAAAACGAAATAAATACAATATAAATAAGAGATATTAAATATTTTCTAAAATAAATAAATTTCAAAATATGTTAGTAGAAATACTAAATTTATTTATTTATTAAGATCTTTTAATAATAAATAAATTGTTTCTACGATTTAAAATGATTATTCTTTTTTTTTTTTTTTTTTGGTTTTTTAAAAATGATTACTACTATTTAATACATTGCACCTTGCCTGGATATTATTGAAATAACTTTGAATTTTACAAATATATAATTTACTATTTGTATTAATGAAAAAATATTATGTTTTATTACAATTTTCTAAAAATAATAATTTTAATTATCTCCATACATTTTAATTCCGTCATAGAAAAAAAGAATTTCAATGAAATATATCGAGTTAAATATTAATACTCAGCTATTGAAGATCACTTAGGGCAATGTTCCAACAAGGAAGAATACGATAAATTTTCATTTTGCCCACAGCAGTTCACATTGACGTGCATTACCCGATGCTTTTAAGTTGCTTTCTCCTATCTCAACCAACGATAGCTTACACAAGTACACCACAAAATGTTTACTAAGATATATTATATTCAATTGTTTACAGTTCCTTCCTAGTGTTAGAGGTCATGTTACGATCTGATGCGCTATCAATGAAGTAACTCATGAGCTTCTTTCATAATAATGTCAATAGTATTATACAACGTATGCCAATTATAATATATGACTAGATCGACCTCTGAAGATACTCAAGTCAAATGTTAGATACTTTTAATTTACATAGAAGAATATATAACGAGTAGCAAATCGTAATCGGCAGTAATATGAAAGGTATTCTTTACCGGTCCATAGTAATATAGAACGACGATCCGTTAATTTTATAAATAGATTCGAAATGATTTTACGGTGGCCGACGATAATGATATTTTTTAAGTGTTATGTAAAAACACATTTTTTCAAATCATTACATTGTAATGCAAAGAAAACAATTTATATATTTATACACGTATAATAAGCATAATATTTTCTACAAGTAATATTAGAGATATTTTACAAAACAGCATCACGTTATAATTCGTGAATATTTTTACTGTTATCTTTCATGGGTTAATATCACGTTAATTTTACTTCAAACTGCAGGAAAACCATGATCAATATTCAAAATTCGTAAAAAATTACCGTAAAATGTAAAGCTATGTAACTCGTGTTAAATTAATAACTAATTGTTTGAAAATAAAATACCCAACCGATATATTTATACGGAATGTGAATGAGTTATAAATGGAGTCTACAGCTATGAAGAAATAATTTACCGTAGAACAAAAATTAATCAATATTCCTGTTATACGTTACATATAATCATATAGTTTCAGCATAAATAATAAAAAAGAAAACTATGTGTGTTTGAGTAATTTTTCTTGACAATAAATTTATATATAAATATATACATTGTTAAAGTAATTTAAAATTATAAGATATATTATTTAGCTGTCTATTATGGGTAAAAAATGAAGAGAATATGACATTAGTGTATTTCAAAGATTCGTGTATAGAACTGTGTAACAGTTAATAAATTTTAATAAAATTAATATTATTTTTAAAAAGAAATTTATTGAATACAAATATTTTATTATGGCATAAACAAAAATGAATTACTTATTGAATAAATTTAGGCTATATAAAAATTGTACATTATGATCACAATTTTTAGATATTAGTTTACACTATATTATTATTATACACTATTATAACCTAGTTAAGCCTAGAGAGCGGATAATATTTTTAATATAATAAAATAAAAAAATAATATAATAATGGTATCTAAGCCACATATTATAATATTATAATTTCATTGTTACATTATTGATGAAATAGTTCTATATAATTTTAATTTGTTTTTTTATTCAATTTTTAGCTTCGATGCGAAGCTGAGAAGGTATTGGTTTTACTATGATGTGATTTTTTTTGTGTCTGTTACCACTTTTTCTCAGCTCTCACCGAACGAATTTCTTTCAACGATACGTCAAAAGATCACAAATCGTATCTAGTCGAAGACATTACCCTCAAAAATTGAAAAAATTTCCCTCGTTCCCCGTAAATGGGGAAAATCTCCAAAACAATTACAAATTTAAAAATCGCTAATTTTCGAAAATTTTTTTTTTTAAAACTGCCATTACTTTTTCAAAAATGAACAAATCAATATAATTATTTTTTATAGATGCTTGATGTCTTTACCTATCATTTGGTATATTTTTTTTATAAATCTGACCCTTTATCTGCCCACAGGGGGGATTTAAAATGACATCTTTTTCACAGAAAATTAACCTTTTCAACTTAACTTTTGAAAGTGTTCCAGAAAGTCTGACACTTTTATATATATCTTAAATTAAAGATAATGTAATGAAATTTATTATGAAAAAAAAAAATTTCGGACTTTATTTTGCCTTCACGGTAAAAATGGCTACCAAATGCTATTTTTGTGTGAAAATTCTCGATTTTATTTTTTACATTTTTAACTTTATAATGCTATAACTTATTGAAAAGTCTACGGATCAGCACAATTTTATTATGAGAAATAATATTTTTTAATAGTCCCTTTTTCATTCGACATACTTTATCTTAAATTTTTTAAAATTAAACACTATCTAAAGGTTTGCATCGAAGCTTTTTTTTTAATAGGGATTTTAATCACTGTCAGGTATCATTATACTTGATCCATCTATGCCACGTCACCACTGTGCCGCGACCCCCCTGTGCTGCGTTTTTTTATTAAATTTAATTAACTATGAATAGAAATTGCATACTACATAATACAGATATATATATATATATTAATTAGTAACTTTTCATAACAAATAAAATTACATGTATATTTGATAGAAGCTGTGTTATTTTATTAGTACGAGAAATAAATACCAATAAGACCTTAAAATAAACTTTATAAAAATTATATCTAACTTCTCTCTCAATCTAAATTCTTTTTTATACATTTAATTTTTTTCGAATTTTGTAGATGCTAAACTCCTTTCAGCTCCCTCTCAAATACGCCTGATATAATTGTATAATTTTTAATTATAAAAAAAAATTATAATGAACTGTAAAAATCATATCACTAAACTTTAATCACATATTTATGACTTAAACAGCCCTCTACGTGTAAAATATATTATTAAAGTATACTGCAACAAACGTTAATAAAAAAAGGTTCAAAGCAAAAATCTGTTTGAGATATAATTTTTTTGAGTGGTAAAAGATATTTTTTTCTACAAAACAGTATTCAAAAAATTGTTGTTTAATTTATCGTTTTGTTGTTGACTTACTGAAAGTTATACAACATTACTGCATAATAAAATATGTTAAAGATTGGTCATTGTTTTATTGTTTTCAAACGCTACGTATCCGGCTATTGTGTGAGTGTGTTATGGGGTTTGAAATACATATACAACTCTAAACACGCGACAGACCGTGGCCTTCGAGTACACGTCTTGTGTTGAACTAGAAGACTTATTCAAATTAAGAGTACCATCATACTAGCCCTTATTAATATATCATGGTACACATTGTTCATCTAATAATATAAGTACGCTATGTATAAATTCATACACACAATACAACTTTATCTTGACAACAACAATGAAGATCCATTCTTAGATTTTTTTTAAATTTAAATTAATTTTCCCCCACCGAGAAACTTGATTTGTATCTTACATATATTAAATTATGTGATCCTATTTTGGTACTAAAGTAACCAATTCTAGATCAAATATAATTATTTAATTACAACTGATTTAATTTTATAGACCAATAAATCGAAAAATTGCCAATACAACGTTATTTTAAGTTGTATGAATAATATTGGTATAGAAAAAAGACATTCCTACTTAGCCAACAACTAGGATGCCCCCGTTTAAAAAAAAGTTCTTTGAAATAATTTATTGGAGATCTGAAATATGCTTCTGCGCCACTTAACTAAATTATTGACATAATTATTAACGACACGAATGTTAATTGCTGCACAAGATACTACACAAAAAAAAAAATTAAATAAGAATACCTATTCAAGTAATCGTAATTGGGAATGAGCTTTAATTTTATCATTTAAATAGCTTATCAAAAAGCATATAAGTCATCAACAAAAACTTTTTGTAGTTGAAATTTTTTCTTAATTGTAAAATTATGTTTTTTCAATATTTAAAAAACTTTTTTTTGGCATATTCTGTTTATATATAACCTATGCTTAAATAAATAATATAATATTAACTTACCAGATGGACAAGAAAAAAGTCCTGTTCCAGGAGTTTGAATCTGAAAAAAATTAGCACAAATATTAATATTAAATTATTATGATTATAGAACTAATAAGTATTTTTAACGTATTATTCAAGCAAAAATAAATTTTTCCGGTACCGGGAATCGAACCCGAGCCTCCTGGGTGAAAGCCAGGTATCCTAGCCACTAGACCATACCGGATCTGTGAAATGTGGTGAAGGTTTAATACTATTTAACAATACTTAAAAATATTTTGTTATATTTAAAATTGAAATTTTCATAAAAACAGGTTTCTTAGTTATATTTTAAATTAATAAAAAATAAAATTTTTTTTCCTTATAGTTTAATAATTTGTATATATAACCTACACCGTGGAAAATAAGATATTAAATATCATGTAAAATCATATGATGTATTAAATTCAGGAGGTCTGAATTAATATGATTTTTATTATAGTCTAAGTATAAATATAACTTAAGCTTTATAAGCTAGACTTAAGTTATATTTATAAGCTCATTAATTTTTTTATCTAAAAGCACATATTCTATTTTAGTTTATTTGAATAAAATTAGAAAAATAGAAAGCTTTTTAATGCAAAATAAATAATACTTATAATATGTAGAATTAAATTAAATTGTTGAATATATTACATTCAACACTTTTAGTCTTTTATTACTATATTTATAAAATAAATTTAAATAATTTTAACAAAAACAATTGAATCAATCAAAATTTATTTTAAGAAAAAACTTTTTTTTAAATAAAAATTCAATAAAAAATATTTGATAGGATACTTGTTACTTGTTTCTAATCAGACACTTCAAATTAATTAATTTAAATTGAAATTACGTGTGGTCAAATATAAATTATCTATTTGGTTACTAAATCACGATCAAAACCTATAATAAAAATATCTATCTGTCAAATAAACAATGGAAAAGTACATTTATCTAAATGGAATTAGTTTTAATTTAACAATTGTCACATCTAGTTTTTTGTTATTTTTTAAACGCCCACATAAATTTTGAATTACAAGGAATTTGTTATGAATACGAATGTGCAGAAATTCCTATTTATTCATGATAAGTAATACAATAATTTATGATAAATAAATTTTAACAAAAATTTAAAATGAGCGAAATAGATAGTATCCCATTAAAATTAAAAATTAATTAAAATGAAAAGTGATTAGCAATACTGTACAATGTTCACATTTGTAAACAAAATTTTTTTTTGTTAAGAACACCTTAAAAAATTGATATTATGAAAAAATCTTAATTTCTAAGAAATCAGCTCGTAATAGTAAAAACAAAGTAACAAATGAAGTCATTAGCCAATAGTAATAATAGAAAATTTATCTTAAACTATTAATTATTTGCACTAATATAAATAAATAACTTAATGAATATAATTAACATAAATATTTTTAGTTTTTTATAATTTCATGAAATTAAATTTGAATCAAAATCTTACTTTTAGCCTTCATTTAAAGTAAATATACAGAGTGTTCAGTAAGTCAGGAAACGGGTATCTATTGTTCTCATTGTTACAAACAATGAGAACAATAGAAACCCGTTTCCTGACTTACTGAACACCCTGTATATGTTTTGTAGAATAATTTTTAAAAAAGTATTTAACATGTTGAAATAATACCAAGTAAATTTTCACACGTATCATTTAATATTAAATACTTTAATCATAATATTATTTAAACTTACAATGGTCATAATGTAGCTTCAGCTTTTAAAAATAATTAATTCGAGGATAACATTGAATATTTGAAAAAAAAACCATTGTTTATAATTTTAATATGCATTTGGTTTAATAATTAATAGGATAATATAGAAAAATAACATTATTCACTTGAATGAAGCAATTTGACTATTAAAATAATAAATTGTATTACATCATTAAAAAATTAAAACAAAATTGGTATTAATGTTTTGCAACTTTTTTCTTTTAATCGACCATTTTTGCGAAATCAAAAAAACATTTTTATTTATTGTTTTTATCTTAATGAAAGTTTTTCAATTTTTGCTAATTAAAAGAAAATGTTTTATTGTAAATTATATTAGACAGTATATAATTTCCAAATATTATTATAACAATTATGCTAGTTCTTGAACTATTAATCCACGAGTTCTAGAGCACGGTCAAATTGTTTTTAATTTACAACAGATAATAAATTCAATCAATTAAATGTCTTTTTCGTGAGTATGTATACCCATAAATACATTAAATAATCAATTTAATATATGATACTTACTCAAGAGTATAAAATATTGTTAATTGTGCTACTAGGCGCATATTGTGATATGTAGATACACAATATTAAGTTATAACTAGTTTAAATTAATTTTTCTTGTTCAAATTTATAACTATATTGTAGTATTTAAAAATAAAATTGAAATTAGTTACAAGGTATAGGAAAAAAGGAAAAATATAATTTACTGAGCGATTGGTGAAAGCATATGTGTGTGACTAATGGTTGCAATTCATACATACATGGTCTCTAAAATGTTTTACATAATGTTATGTGTGTAAATCGAGCAATATATTCTATACTCCTAAATGAACTGGATATTGTTTATTACGTCTATGATTATTCATGAATAATTTTCTTTTATTTATTTACTTTTAATGACTATATCTTACGCTTAAAAATCTTACAAAAGAAATCATGCAGAAAATATGTAATTTTATAAACACATATAAAGTATATTATACATGAATAATTAAGATTGTTTTAAAAATTTATAATTTATATTTTATTCTCATAAATTTCAAAAAATTAAAATTATTTGAATACTCAAAAATGAATCTTATTTTTGTTATTTTGTTTTGATTTTTAGCCTTATTAAGGTCATAGCGGCCTCCGCCAAAAGAGGAAGTTTCTTATCTATAGATACTCTAGGACTAGTGGTTAGTCTGTCTCCAGAGTGAGGGAGATGACTCCAATTACCGAATTGATTTCTCGCTCAACAATTGAAGCAGCCTGTGACTGAGTTTCGAAACCGAGTCAGTGCCTGTGAAGCACTGCCGAAGTACCGACTCGGCCACACCGTCCCTCATTTTTATTAATTTTTATTGGTATAATACTAATGAGTCTTTTCTTTATACAAAAACAAGATTTGAAATAAGGGAAAAGGACTCGTTAATTTTTTTTATTTAAATAAATCTCCCACCAGATTATTTAAATAATTTAATTCGTGTTGATTAATTTACGATGATAATTAGTATCATTAATGTTCAAAATTAAGCCAAATGAATGTCAGTTAAATCAGCAAAATGATTTCGTTACAAAAAAACTTTATTACTTTATATGATGCAACGCCGTTTTGACGTGTATAAAATAAAACTAATGATAGTGTAGAATGCACATCCTTTGATTATGGAAAATAATAGAGGATGATGTATATTAGAACATAATCGTAAAGTTATAGTCAAGTGGCAAATGAAACATTAAAACAGCTTGGCGTTTTCTTGTTTAGTTAATAATACTACTATGTCGTGATGCAGTTGTGCCACTTTCACAGGACTGATTAATAGTACGGAAATATGAGTGTTTAAATACATATATCTCTATGCTATGAATATTACGAATAAATGTACTATGTAACGTTTTAAGCAGATACTTTGCATGTCGTGGATAAGGTGAATTTTCAGATACTTTGTTTTTAAGTTAAGATTTTAATAACAGAATCCTTGTTAAACTGGGATGAATATTTAAAGTACAATTACAAATTTAAAATTATTATTTTGAAAATTATTTTCAAGAGCAATTACATTATTTCGTTTGTAAGGTATTCATGTACTACATCATTAAATTATTAACATTCTTCTAAACGCACGATATTTCCAGAAACATGAAGTTAATTAAAATTTTTATTAAATACAATATATTTTGGGTAAAAATAATTAAGGGTGTAGAATAAAACTTCAGTTAAATAGACCATGGAAGAAGCGTTCAAAGAAAAAAAAAACGAGAATAGTTATGTCCAGCCAGCTATAATGTGAAAATAAAACTTGTTTACTTTTCAATGAAGTAAAAAAAATAATTGATACAAATTACGCTTGATAATTGCGACTATCTTTATTTCTTTTATTTGCAACACATGATTTTTTTTTATTGCTTTCGTTTTTACCTGTTTTAACGTTGGTACAAAATGAAAATGTGTAGGTTAAATTTTAGATTTTGTTAGTGAACTATGAAAATTAGCCAACTATTTATTTTGAAGAAGTATCAAACTCGTTGAACTGTAGATAAATGTTACAGTATAACTTAAACACATTCCACTTAATTTTTTGGTACATCAAGTTTTTGGACCGCAAAGAATAAAAATATAGACACTCGTATATATAAAAAGATAATTTACCAAAAAATTTGTTTGGTTTTTCATGTTTAACCCAAAAGAATACTTGTTCACCAACATGTTAAAAATTAAAAAAAAAAACACAAAAGATTTAAACGAGTAGCTCAGAAATTTTTAATTGTTTTTCTTTAATTCGAGCGGATACTGCCATTCAAATACTTTCCCTACAGAGTCTTTTGAAATATTCAATTTGAACCTTTCATAAAAGAGGATAGAAAGAAATGAAGTAAAAGTGTTATATCATTTAGCTTAATTTAAAGTGAATGCTCTGGCGTAACCACGAGTTTCTTGTGCATATTATTTTATTGAATAGGCTGAGTAATAGAATTGTCAACAAAATTATTGTATTATTATATTTACTTAGATAACTGGAACAATTATGAGATTATGTCGCGTTTAGACAATGTCTCTCCAGTAAATGTTTGTGTATTACAATACATGTAAATTATATTAAGTTTTAAGTTTTTATTTACCTGAGATAAGACGTATGGTAAAGCAACGACCAATAGAATGGCCGCGTGTATTTTTATCCTCATGCCAACTGAATGATCTAAAAAAACAAAAAATTTAATGTTATTAATTTAAGTTAACAATTATAAGGTTCTATTGTTAATTTAAATTAAAAAATCACACATTTTATTTTTATGAATACCAAAAAAAAAAAAAAGATTAAGGTTGTGGTAATAATGTACTTACAAAGTTTATACGATATATAAACTATAGTTTTAACCCATTACTAAGGATTTTTAAGTTATCTACTAATTAATGTTCAGCAGCGTAATTAAATACTAATAAGTTATAATTATAGAGTGAACTAATGAATGGCAAGTTTCGTCGAATAAAACAATGCTCTTAGTAAAATAATTATCTCAAAGGAACAATAGATGTATTAAATTATTGAGAATATTTGACAAACTGTCTGTTCATGAGAAGATAACTAGTAAACACGGTCATACAATTGATGGATGCGTATAAAAGATAGTTTTCGTATTGTGTATTCACGTATGATCTTAGACTATTTCTATTGAGTACTTACATAGATCTAGTTTATTTCTCATCAAGATTTAGATCTTTACTGAATTACCTAACCCATATTTTCACTCTAAAACCTCATTCATACTTGATTAATATTCTCATTCGTCACTGTAAAGGTCACTAGGGTGCGACATTTTGAGTCGGTAAAACTTTTGCGTTGGCCAATCACTATGCTGACATCTCTCGTTTATATTAAATAGAAATGTTTAATACATATTACACACCTTAATTGAAACGTGTCAATGACCATATACATATATAATGTAGGTATGGGAGTTGTAACATTAATCTTTAATGAACTAAATAAAAGTTCTAGTTCATCTCAGGTCTCTAGAATTGATCTGCTATAATAAATCGAGTGCAGAAGTATACATTGTGAAAACACAATAGTTAAACCGATTTATTTATGTATTGATACGTATCGAATTTAGTTTAATACGGTCTGTTTGGCAGACTCGCTGGTATTATGGTAAATAAAATTTTATTTGGCTAAGGAGTAATGTAGATAAAAAATAATTAGTATTGTATAAAAGTAATGTAATTGATTATAAAATAATACTCAGTATGCAAGTGTACTATTTAAACATTAATATTAACTAGAAATATGAAAATGTTTATAAACAATTTAACGTTTATTATAGTAATTTTTTGAGCTCTCCGAAAATTGATATTATTTTTCAAAATAACAATTTGCACTTATTTATATACTTGTAATTCATTTAGTGTTATAAAATCTAATATCCTAATAAAAATTTGACATTAAAAAAAAGAAAAATATGCACAATTATTGGTAATTAATGTTACTTTCTGATGCAGTTTGATTTGGTTGCTACTAGTTTTCAAATTTTTACGCAGCATAACATTATATTATATTTTCACTGGAGTTTTTATATTTTATTGCCAAAATGCATACTATTTTGAATAATAAATGACCATAAAACTATAAAATTGGAGCGCAAATCATTCATGACTAATTAAAATTTATATGTTTGTACAACAGTAACTGTAGTTTTCAACGGTAAATCGACTTTTTTAATAAAAAAAAAATATAACCATTATCTTTTATCGGTGTGACCATTGGAGCCGTTAGCATAACGAAATATTAGATTGTAGAGTATATGAATATTAGATGGAGATGTTCATATATAGAGGTATATCATGAAGCGTTTTAATTATGAAAGATTTTTTTTTAAGGTTTATTAATAGTTCAAGTCGTTGATTCTATTTCCCACACTTTTAAATTTAAATAAATGGGTCTGTTTATCTACAAGTTCATTAAAAAATTAATGTTTCTTTACACTTAATTGAACAAAAAAATAAAATATTATGCTTTTAAACATATTACAAAAGTATACATTTCACGCAAATCAAAAGTTATTTTTAGTTCATGAAACAGTAAAATAATAACAAAATGATGTAAACACAGAAAAAAAAAAATGTGTCTTCCTCCCAATGAATTATGATACATTATGACCCACCAATATCTTTCCAAAATACGCTGAGTACAGTCGCACTTATAAAATAATTTAACTGGATGAATAAAAATTAATACTAGTTGTAAATATTATATGCATTTATAGATTTGTTTTAGCCACTTTGAATGGTCCTAACTTTGTCGTGAATTATACAGAAGTGTGGAAATAATTTTCGTTTTAGGGGTCCCTCCTAAAGCACCCAACACTAAAACTTCGGTAACATAACATTACTAAGTTTTCAAGTCAGTTAATAAAAAAACATAAATAGTTAAAAACGTAAACTGCCTGATGGTGTATTCGGAATAACTTAACAATTATTTTTAAATGAATATCATTTGGATTAAAAATAATTAGTAATATCGTTTGACAGATTAAGTGAATTAATTAAACACGTGATGATATAATAAAAAAATCATGGTGTCAAAATTAAACAAAATTTATAATAAAAATGTGATATAGCGCGTTAACCGCGTGAGATCAAAAATCGACAGTTAATCTTGTTCACGGCAATAGCACCTAATTTTCTACTAATGTTCCCATGACAACTAATGCGACAAAATATGTGCTATTCTTTGAGTGTTTGACAACTGATTGGATTATTCGGTTTCGATTATCAGTAACCTATTCTCTATTCACATGTCCAGTAATAGCAAAGCAACAGATAGTCGCCACGCCGCGAGAAGATGGGCGAAAGAATGTAGGACGAACAACGGTGTGTAGCCTCGACTTAATAACAACATTCCAAAACCGGGTTGGGCTATATATACACACGCATATACATATAACTCATGGAAATTAAGAGCTCTCGTATGAAAGAGGAAATTTCTTTATCCACGTCCTAAGACGACGTGGCATAAGAAAAATTCGTCATTTCAACAATGACATGAATTTCAACATTGCAGCTAAGAAAATTCGTTGAAAAAATGTTTGGAGCTATCGGAGATAAATGCTGTCCTTAGAATAAAAGAGAAAGGTAACTGCTGATATAACTCATATAGACTTATTTAAATCTCTCGTGCGAATGAGCGTCGAATTTAAAAAAACAATAATGTGAAAAACGAAAGGAAATAACTCATGTAAGGCATTGACACAATAACGTGACTAGTTTTTATGCTCTTGAACTTCATCGAGCCCAAAATGCACACTGCGGTGTTATTCATTACAACCAAGTTACGCAACGATCGACTAGCTCAAATCCAACTTAATTGTTTATCCTTGAGAAATCATTAAAACTAATTAGGAAAATTTATATCTCATGATTCTACATATTGTGTTCTTTAATAATTGATTTGTTATTATGGAAAAACGAAATGCAACGGTCGTTTTCTAAAATGTGTTAGATATTCTAATAAATCAAACATTTTTTTTTTTAAACCGTATACTATTTTAATCTACTTATAGATAACAAATCTCGTTAAATTTACTACTAATAAAGAGTACTCATAGACATGGGTTCGTTTATTTTCAAATCTTTCATATTGAATATTTTATTTAATTGCAAAAAAATAATAATTTTTTTAATATACTACTTCCTGAGATGGATGGACAAATTCTCTTAAGACGAAATACGATAAAAAATATTCGAAATTTTGACCTCTCAAACTAAAAATGGTTATCTCAGTTAACATGAAAATTTATTTAATCCTTTTAACTAAATAATTTAAAACTAATATATATATTTTTGTAAACCTTTGACAACTAAGAAACATAATCAATGATGATTCTCCATATCAAATGATCTTTTAAAACAGGTTTCTAAATTAAAATCGTGTATGGAATCGATAGAACAACAAATATCTTATAACAAGTTTATAGGAATCCAAATTTTCCGTATTGTACCAACTCGATTGGTTTACCGTTACAATTGATCATCTGTTAAAAAAACCAATGTTCTAACAAAAAAAACTTGTTCTTTTAGTTAAAGAGACTATTGAATTTAATAGCTTACGGTTTTGACATATTCAAGAGCGTTATTAGGTAGTATGAATACTTTTTTTCGAGCTTTCCACAATATATTTAAACTCCTATCAATTTATTAATAGCTATTAAACTATAGTTTATTGATAACGTGTATAACGTGTGAAATGTCAATTAAAATGAAAAATAATTTTTCATTGAACTATCAGAGTAGGAATAATGAATAAACACATCGTTCCATAGTGATGTAAGTCGTTGTTGATAGATTTACATGCAAAAATTGACATGATAATGAGTACTTAGAAACTATCTTAAAATTTGATGGTAGCTCATGTTGTTTGTTCAAAAGTCCGTATCAGATGATGACTGTTGGCTTTTGCTCATTTTGAAAGCGTAAATTGTTTTTACGAAATGTTATTCTTTGCCTCGCGGACACTGTACGACAACGTTAATTACATTGGAAACTATTTTACATTGAACAAAAAGAAAAATAAACAACGTAAAATGAATTCTTTATTGACAAAAATTATGTAGCGTAATGCGAAGTCTAATCACAAAGTACGCTGCGCGTGGCAAATACGTTATTTAATAAAAATCTATTTTCTTCCAACATAATGGGTGTCCCCGGACAAATAAAATATTGTGCATTACATTTTTTAATATCTTTGTTGTTATTGTTTATACGTCGACACGAACGTGTACATTGCAAGATTTGCACAACGACCTTCCGCCGACGTGTTCACCCTCCTCAATTCTTTGTCTAATTATATCTCGCAACAAAAAAGTTATTGAACACAAGCATATCGAGGGGCACAGAGCAGACTCTCTAGCAGTTACTTTCTCACGAAAATTATCCACCGAAGTAATAAGCAATGTAATTTTTTTTAACAATAAAATGCGCGCGCATTTAATTTGGAAAGACTGAAACAAACAAATGTAGGTTATACCTAACTGTTAGACATTTCGTCACAGATCAAATGTGTGTAAGTCGATGGTGTGTATTTTCTAACTAAAAATATAATTTTTGTACGTAACATTACACTGCGATCATGTGAAGCATTTCTGCCGGCTGAATAATAATGCACATAGTATCGCCAAACGATAGTTGATGGCAGTTGTGTTG